ACTGTGTATTTGTACTTTTACTTAAGTACATTTTTTGAGTACTTTCTCCACCACTGGTAACGGCGCAGTGCTGGTTGAATGTGACTGAACAGTTGGGAGGTTTTTGAAACGGCTCAGTTTTGAGTCACCAAAATATATCAACTTACTGCCATAAAACTGGTTGTTTTTTTTATTTTTAAAAGTGCTTGGGTTGTTTTTAGAAGCTGCAGAGATCCAAATGTAAGTATAAAAACATGAAAAATGTGAATTTTGCATAATAAGTCCCCTTTTAATCACAGTTAATTTAGGATTTTAAAAAAGGGGAATTGCTTTTTCATGTTTTTGTATTGACTTGTATTTAACTTTATCCAATACTAACATTTGTTTGATGATGTAAAACATTTAAGTGTGGCAATAAAGCAAGAACAGAAGATGTTTGTTATCAGGTAAACACTTTCACAGTGCCATATATTCAGAAATAAAGGCAAAAAGCTGAGGAAACAAACAATTTGGGAACAATTTTAAGAAATAGAGAATTTTCTTAGTATTTCCACAGAGGCTTATTGGTCTTTGCATCTCTCAGGTTCCACTCTGGCTCTTGTGGAGGAATGTAGTCTTTGTGAAGCTGTTTTGGTGCTGCCAGCGTCTCAACTCGAACACTTGCTGAAGCCCTTTTTGCTGCTCTTGAGACCTGTTTAACATTTAGCATGAGACAAAACAAGAAAAAGAACATTAAAAAGATATAGTTCTAGCTGATGATTAGTAAAAACAATTTACCTGAAATTAGACAGCTGATTAAGCTGAGATAAAACTTCTGTTATAGTTAACAAATAGCTTTGAGTTTGTTCGAACCAAGGAGGCTTTGGAGCAGGGCCAGCCCAAACCTTTTTGGGGCCCTAAGCAGATTTTCATTTTGGGTCCCCCATACCATTTGTTGGTCCTCTTGGGGGTCCTTAGCAGCCACTTAATATTTAAAAATTTGAATAAGATGACACTTTACAGACAGATTTTGCTTTCTTACAATCCAGATTGGTTCCTCGAAGCGCCCCAGCTGGTAGCAGATGTTGCTCTGCTTCAGTTTGGGCAGCGACAACTGGGCGAGTCGCTGAGATATCCGAGCTGTTCTGGACGCTAAGGAGACGATGGAAGCAGCACTCTGTGGGACAAAAATGGAGAAAGTTCAGTTTTTCTTTATGTAACAGAGCTAAATGATACAAAAGTTTAAGCAGCTTTAGCTTAGCAACTGTTCCAGTAAAGTTTGTCCAGACTGAATGTGAGGTTTTCCAGCGTCGTACCTCCCTGTTGCTGCGGTAGTCAGGATGGGTCTGTTTGGGTTGTGAGAGCTGCAGCAATCGAGCGGTGATGATGACGTTTCTCACTCGGGGGTCAACGTGCCAAATGGGACAGTTGTTCTCACACAGAGGTGTGTGAAGGGACCTGTGGGACAACGAAGTGGCACTTTTAACATCTCACCTGGGATCATCTACACTGCAAAAACACAAAACCTTATCAAGTAATTTTGATTAATTTTTAGTGCAAATATTGCAGTACACTTGAAATAAAACAAGACTAATTTATAAGTAACTTTTCAGAAAGGTCTGGGAGATTGTTTCAAGTCAAAACTTTCATCAATATTAATTAAAAAGTATTAATTCTGCTGGCAGATTTTTTTTTACACTTATGGGAAAAGTATCTTGTTTTATGTGAAATAATCTGCCAATGGAACTAGTACTTTTTCATCAATATTAAGGAATTATTGACTTCCTGTGTCTTGCTGAAAAGTTACTTGTGTTGTTTGAAGTGTACTGAGATATTTTCACTAGAAACTCAACCAACATTACTTGGTACGATTTTATGTTTTTGCAGTGTAAGGTCTTTGTGATCTTCCTCTCAATGGATAATTTGAGCAATTCCAAATTAAAATACCATAATTTGAAATTAAGTTAAAACAGGAAGGACTTAATTTGCTTTTACTGCAATGATTTTTATTTTAATTTGAAATGCTACTTTTGAGCGAAGGTCTGTCTCTGGGAACTTTTAATTTGAAAGTACAGGGCCTGTTTACATGAAGCGGCAAAAGCTGCATTTAAGAAGGGTTTCTTCTTCTTGACTTGTATTTTATAATGATGTTATTTGTTTGCATAATTACTTTCATTATGGACTTTTACATATCTAAAACCTAACTTTATGTTTATGTCTGTCGGATTACATAATTTGAAAACTTTAAATGATTCGGTACTTAGAATTTTTTTTTTTTTTTTTTACCAAATACATTTTACTTTGACTTGAATAATTTCTCTAATGGATTTTTCTTCCATTCTCATAAATATGTGTCACCTTCACACTCCTCTACAGTGTCAGTGAATTTTCTCCTGGTGGTTTACGATATCCAGTTTGTTTGTTCCAATTTAAGCTTTACATGCTTTATTCCAGTCATATTTCCCTTTAAGGCTGTATATATTTCCGTTCTCCACAGAGTTATTTTTCCGCTTTATTTATCTCTCCACTGGGGATAACTATAACTAAGGGTTTTTATTCCCATCACAGAGCATTTAAAGTTGAGCCTCTGGAGTTTTTGTAACTGAAAATATGAATGCAGTCTCCAAATCCAACAACAGCGAGTTCATGATTTATAAAAAGATTTCCGTGGTTGTTCCACGAACATCCCGGGGGTCTGAACTGTGTACAATAAGCTCCATTGTCTCGTCTCCCATAGCCTGACATTGAAATAGCAGATGCCCGAACGCTGGTGTCGGACCCGAGCCTCTTCATGTTTGAACAATATGATATGCTGCGTTTGACTGCCATTAAAATCAAGACTTTGGATTGTGGCCGCCACGACATGAGCTCTGTTGGGAACATGATATGAGGATAAAACAGGAAACGTCATAAATATGTCCTGCTGTCATTAGTCATCAGAAAACGCAAATTTTACCTTTCACCTACAGATTACAGTTTATTTTCTCCAGCTCTTTTTGTAAGCAATCAGGGTCCATATTCTTCTACAATTTCATTGTAAATCTTTAACTGTTTTAATTGGACCTGGGTAAGACTGGCAGCGACACACCAACAACTACAAATCAAAACTACTGATAGCAAAACCCAATAAAAATACATCATTGATAATAAAGGAAGAAATATAACAAAGAGCAAACAACCTAAATACAGGACTAAAATGAATGAAGCAGCATGGAAAAGGAACAATTTTATCAATATTAAGGAATTATTGACATATAACAAGCTCCTATATTTTGCAGAAAAGTTTCTTGAAAAAAAAAGTTTTGTCTTATTTCAGGTGTTTTAAGACATTTAGACTTGTTATACTTGTTATTTTGTGTTTTTACTGTGTAACTGAATTGAAATTATTTATTTGTAAAGTGCCTTGAAATTTCTTTTGTTGTAAGATAGATTTTGGAAAACATAAACAAATACATTTCTGTACAATTTTTAAGTAAATACATTTACCATACATTGAATAACCATATATCTTTGCATATACTAATCAAATTTACAAAGTTTATTTGATAAATTTAAAATTATTAATCATTACCAATACATTTTCCCTATAATTCGCTATACATGATAATGGATATTTATAAAAAAGTACATATATTTTGGGATTTATAATATATACTGCAATATATGGAAAGCAGCAATATATTTTTCTCTGTATTTAAATATATTACTAGAATATATTATATATATTTTAATACATATTTTGTATGTTAAAAAATGTATAGAGAAAATAATATATTAGAATATATTCCATTATATTTCCAGTAACTCATTGGTAAATATATTCTCTTTTTGTAAGGGCGATCCATACTTCCTTATTTCCTTACCTGGAGTCTCTCAAAACATCGACAGCATTTCTACTAATAATATATAATTAATATATACATAATTAATGTTATTAATTCTGTTAAAAAATCTCAAAGTGTGATGGTTTAAAGTCTATGTGTTATATTTTAATGAAGATATAAAGATACAATTACTTAATTTACTCTCTCTATGACTTTAAAGCTCCTCAAATCCCATCATGTAAACCAGATCAGTGACATTCACATGACCTTGAACTGTAAAAACATTCCTCCATGTTTGTCGTTTTTACCCTGGCTCCTGAGGGCCGCGGCTCCGCGTTCGGGGCGCTGACAATCGCAGAGTGTTTTCATACTGAGACGTCTTGGAGGAAGGATGCCTGGTCTTCCTGAAGACGCTCGCCTCTTCCTCCTCGTCATCCTCCTCTTGTTTCCTGCAGAAAAATGGAAGTCATTACGTGGTGTACATCTCAGACAAAAGAGCGAGAAGGAAGAAGGTGGAGGCAGACAGAACAATGGTGGAATGTAACTCCTGGTTTAATGTTGGATGTGTGAGTGGAAAACCACCTGAAGGCAGGAAATATTTATATTTTCATAAACAGCAAGGACTATATCCTGACACATGATGTGAAAATTCTCATTAACTCAAATAAGAACTGATTTTAATCATAAAGACTTTATAAAAGTGTGGTTTAAGCAATTGTTATGTATGTTTTCATGCAATATCTGCATAGAATAGGTACAACTCTGCAAAAACATAAATTATGCCAAATAATTTTGTTCTAGTTTGTAGTGTAAATATTTTAGTACACTTAAAATAAGAAAAATAACTTGCAAGTAAACTTTCAGCAAGAAACATAACCTTGTTTTGAGTCAATATTTTGTTATTAATGAAAGAGTAATTATTTCTCTTAAGGGGAAAATGTGGATGCATCTCCGACCTTTAGCAAGCAGAGCTTTATAAAAGTCTCAACAGAAAAAATCCCTCTAATGTTTTCATCTCCACGCTTGAAGCCAAACCAGCTGATGACTCCTATTATCTTCTGCTCCAGTGTAATTATTATTAGGGGTCCTTCCTGTGTGGGCCTCTGATTAAATTACCCTGAATATCATTGAGGCAGAGAAACAACAAACTCTCCCTACAATCCTCCCTTTTCATCGACCGGTGGAGCCTGACAGCTCTCCGGGGAGATCGCCTCCGACCTGGCATCGGTCCTGAACATCACTTTGCAGCCTCTTACATCCACTTTGTGAAAAACTCCCCACACAAACACGCTGATTTACCGCGACACTGAAAGCCTGTCAGCAAAACACAAGCAGTCCTTCCTTTCTATCGTTTTCCAGACGGTCATCAATAATGCTGCAGGTGCCTTGCTTGCCTCCAGGGGTCCTCCCTTGCTGAGAAGTCTCTTTTGTGTTGGGCCAGGTATTGGATTCTTGCAGTCGGAGTAGCTTTGAGTGCGGCGGTGGAGATGGGCCATATCGGCTCCTGGTTGCCCCAGCTCACGTTCTCACTGATCAATAAAGGGACAAACAGTTTCCAGAACAGCTAAGTTTAAAAAATGCACTAAAAAGGGAAGAAATTTGTCATTTGAAATCGAAAACTACGTTTACACTGCAAAAACACAAAATCTTACAAAGTACCGGTAATTTTGGTCTAGTTTCTAATGCACATATCTTAGGTTGTGCAGGAGGCCACATTTCTGCTTTTCAAAGATGCGTAGTTGTAAGATGCATACCTGTTTGCAGCCATTTTCACATGTGAATGTAAATGTTGAGTCAGAGGTTTGTGATCATCAGCTGATTACTTGGATTTAAAGCAACAGAGGCCCTAAAACAGCTCATTAAGAAAGGAGCTCAAATTAAACAGAACTGAAAAGACTAAAATCTCACTAAGAATAATTTTGTGCAAAAAACTGCAATAAACAGATTTTGTATAGGCCATAAACCTATCTTAACCTGGTCAAGGAAAGAGGCATAATAGTCACCTTTAAAATGAATGAAAGAGTATTAGTTTCAGTACTTGAGTTATTGACTTAAAACAAACATATATGTTGATGAAAAGTTGAAAAGTTAGTTTTGTCTTATTTTAAGTGTACTCTCAAATGTAGACCAAAAATACTTAAGATTTTGAGGTTTTGCATTGAAACACAGCTATGAAGTTCAAATAAACACACAAAAGGAGGAAGAAATTTCACATTTTAAATCTAAAAGAATAGTTTAACAGCTTGTATCAATAACCAGAATGAGTTTAGCTTCTATTTGGATGCAGTTTCAGGTTGGATCAGTGACCGAATGTCTCCAAGCTGAACATTTAACCAGATCTGCAGAGGTCACTGTGGGGCCTTCTGCGGTTTCAGGAAAGAAAAGCTCAAGCTTCTCACCAAGGAGTCGTCTCCCAGACTGTTTTTGAGGTTTTATGCTGCGCCAGCTCCAAGATTCTGCCAAATCACACACAATCCACAAGACATGCATCCACGTTAAATATGAGGGGAATTTAAGGGAATCTGGGATCAGGTTCAACATGCAATCACCACCATAACTACAGCCGATATTATAACTCATAACAAACTGATAAATACATGAACGATAAAACAGCAGCACCTCTTTGAGGGACCAAATCTCGGCAGGACACCTGCAGGTTTAAATGCATCACAATTATCAAACCGAACTGATTTGAAGATGCAACGAGAAATCCATGAACTTACCTTGTTTTCCAGACACCATCTTCACCGACTCTGCTGGACGTGCCACAATAATCTGCTGCTGTTGCTACGGAGCCATGAGTCCCTAGCAACCAGCTGATGAGTCCTTGAAACTGGAGTCTGCTTTGTTACCGTCTCAGGATGTTGAAAGTGATACAAATGGGTCACCGAGCAAAGAAGGATGATCTTCTGTTACCGATTCAAGACTTCATTTTAACATGACTGAACATCTAGACCTAAAGTTTGCGTATCCATACTCAGATGCCAAATAAAAAATAAATACTTTCAGCACCTTTTCTGATAACTTTGAACTTTTTGTAAGCTGAAAATAAAAATGTGTTCCCAAATCATCACAAAATGAAGTTGCGATATTACCATGATGAAACGTCAGGATGCTATAGTAATAGCTAAAGGTAATAAAGGATGTGCACACTTAGTTTTCTCCCTGAAAGTTTAAAGTTAGTTATTTTCTTAAAGGTTTTTTCACACTGAAGGTAGAAGAACTCAGGAATTATTCAGCTTTATTTTCCATTATATTGTGGGGAAATTTTGGAATAAAAATCAATCAGAAAGTTTTGTAAGAAATTTATTTTAAGTGCGAAAAAGAAGAATATTGAACAAATATTTGTCTTTTTTTATTGAAACTTTTAGTGTAGCTCAGCTTTAAGAAACATTTGTAAATTGAGTGAACCAAACAGATTTCCACAGATTTAATAAAAAAAGGAAAAGAAACAGAAAATGAAATGGGTAAAATGAAAACATCCACCTGCTTAACAGCTTAAAAAAAATAAATTCCGTCAACTTACGGTCAAAATAAACATTTAAAACAGAAAACGGCTTTCACACAGTAAAATAACGGTGATGCATAGTGTTTCTGCTGCAGGTTTCTAATTTGAAACTAACAGAAAAGTTTAAATATAAATGAATCGGCTCTTTGGCGCCTCCAAGTGGCTGAAAAATGTAACTGCTCTAAATTTGACCAATAACCAAATATATTTTGTTGCTCACATGAATAAAACAAAAAGTGCAGACTTACCGTTTCCCTCCAAGAGACTTTAATGGGTTTATTTTTCTGTCTGTTATTTATCATTTTCTTAAAGCACATTAATTAAGAAAAATAAATGTTTTAAAGCTTTGAAACACTTAAACCATGTAACAAAGTCGCCCTGAACTTAAACCTTTGATGCCCTCCCATTTCTTTAAATAAGAATGCAAATGAAAAAAGTAAAATGATTTGTTACATTGGATCAGCAACACTGCATAATTTCTAAACCTCCATGATTTATCTGTCTTGAGAAACCATCTGGAAGATCAGGTCCCGAGCATCGTGGACCCCTGAGCTGAGCTCCGAGTCGCCCTTCCTCACATATGTACCGATGAGGAACAGCTGGCGGTCCCCGGCTTCTGACAGCGACAGAGCGTCATGGAGGTCAGTGATGCTACAGGACGTGGGAAGATCCTGGAATTAGAAGATAAACATGACGACACACCTGGCTCAAAATGAATAAAGCAACTCTTTTGACTTCATTAGCAGTAAAACTGCTTTTTATTTTATTTTTATTAAAAAAGGACCTATTAGTGCAAAGTTCCACATATTTGTAGTTCCATTTGGGTTTCTACAGCTTCTAAAAACAGCCCAAGCACTGAAAAAACAAAAACACCCATCTGTTTTTGACAATAAGTTGAAAACAACTTGCTTTAAAAAAAATCGGAATGTAACAAATAATCAGGCACTGCCGTTACCTAGCAACCCCAGCTAAGTCTAGCCCGTTACCTAGCAACTCAAGCTGAGCTCCAGCACGTTTGTTCATCTGGCTGTAGGCGTATGAGTTGTGCAATGGCTGCTGGAAAAGCCAACAGTTTTGTTGCTGACTTACAATCCAGAAACCACTTGTAGCATTCTTATTGGTTGTACATGAGGCTCTACTTTTGCTTTTCAAAGATGTACGGTTGTATAATTATTTACCTGTTTGCAGCCATTTTCACACGCAAGTGTTAGGGGGCGTGCCCAGAAGCAGCTTGTTTGGATTTAAAGTGACAAAATGCCCTAAAACTACAACATCGTATTAGGCCCATTGTAAATTTCCGCCAAAAATTGTAGAAGTTGAGATTAATATGAGAAATCTTCTCAAAAATACTTGGAAATTTTCTGAGCTCGTTAAAGTCAAAAACAGAAGAAGTTGAAAATGTTAAATTTTTGTTTTTTTCTTGCAAATGTTCGACTATTAGAACTCAGAAATTTCCAAGTTTTTTTTCCAAGAAAAATTCTGAGATTAATCTCAAATTTTCTATGTTTTTTGGCAGAAATGTACTCCCTTTATCCGTCTACAATGGCCCTGATGTGCAGACGTACTAAAACAGGAGTTCAAAATAGGCAGAACTGAAGTAACTAAAATCTGATCATCTAACCATTTTGTGCAAAAAATGTAATGAACATGTTTTGTGTCGCCCACAGATCTATGCTAATCTGTTCAACCAAGTACAGTAGGTCACCTTTAAAATGTGTGACATCCGGGATTGGTTTTTCTTCTCACCTGTTTGTTGGCCAGCACCATTAAGGGCAGGTTGGGGTGAAGGGCCAGCAGCTCGTGTAAATGTTTCTTGGTGACTGGAAAAAGCTCTGGGTTGGCGGAGTCGACCACAAACACCAGCAGCAGAGCTCTGGGTGTGTATTTCTGCCAGTACGGCCGCAGATTCTCCCCACCGCCGACTGAAACAGACACAAACCGAGCTATAAGTTACAAAATATAAAAGTACAGAGTCACCTACTTGGCACTGGAATGAAAATATATAATTTAATGCAGTAATGAGACTACAACTCATAAAAACAAAACAATTAATTATGACAGAGAAATTACTGTTTTATTTTGACCAATTTCACTTTAAAACAAACCTACAATCAAACTTACATTTTTAGCTAATGAGCTTTGGATTACAGTGTTTCACTGATCATGTGTGAGATAAAGTGCTGCAAAAACGTATTTTCCTTCTTACTGGTTTCTTTGTTTTATACCCAAAATGCAAATTTTTCATTCATGTGCAAAAAAAAGCTATGTGCTGAAAGATAATACACTCTTAGCAGTAATTAAGCAAATTCTGTACAAAATAGATAAACATTTTAATCCCAAAAATAATCAAGACAACAGATGTTACACTGCAAAAACACAAAATCTTGCCAAGTAATTTTGTTCGAGTTTCTAGTTCAAACATCTTAGTAGATTTGAAAAAAAGACAAAACTAACTTACAAGTAACATTACAGAAAGAAATACAAGAAGCTATGCTTGTTACAGTGACGGATTATTTCACTGTTTTTCCCCACATGATAAATGAATTAATCTGGTAATGGAGGTAGTACTTTTCATCAATACTAAATTACTGAGCTCATATTTCTTGCTGAAAAGTTACTTTTTAAGTTGATTTCAACAAGATATTTGCACTAGAAGCTAGACCAAAAATATTTGTACCTTTGCTATAAATGATCAAGCAAACACTAAAATAATGCTAAGTTGTTTTAGGCAATAAATTGTTGAACTATTTGTTCACTTACCATTTTAATGTATTTCTAATACTGTATAAAAAAGGTTTAAATTAAATTTCTGCCATTATTCTAGTTAATTATTATTAACTAGAATAATAATTCGTAATAACCCTAAAAGATTTAAAAACCATGTTTTGAAGATGTAGAGTAAAATTCTGCTGTCCTGTTATTGTTGTTTCACGTTTAATAACTTCAGCCATAAACTCTCTACAGAACCAAGAGAAGAAAAATAAATCAGTGAAAACGACTTGGGGCCATTTTAAATCTCTGCGTCGAGGAAAAGCCGATAAGTTCAGACTCACTTTCTAGAAACTCGACGTCCATGTCGTCTTTGCTGATGGAGATGGCATTAAGGCCCTGCGTCGGCTCCACGTCCTGCTCCAGACTGCCGCTGGAAAAACAGTGCAGCAGGCTCGTTTTCCCGGCTCCGTCCAGACCCAGAACCAGAACCTGGGTTCCCTCTGACTCCACTGGATGGGCCTGGAACACAAAACACAGCCGTAGAAACACTTAAAGGAACGCAAAAGACGAGCTTAAGCATGACTGAGTCCTGCATTGATGAAATTAAATCTGCACCTGTGGGGAGAGAAAATGAGCTGAAAGATGTAGGATGTGTGGCAGAAAATTTTAAAACAGATGTTTAAGACTTTCAACAATTATTGTTAATTACAGAGTTATGGATCTTGTAATTGGAGTCAGGAATCAGAATAATTATTTTTATTCTTATTTGTTACATTTTGGTTGATATTGTCTAGTAAACACTAACAAAATGTGTCATCTTTTTTTTCATGCTTAATTATTTTTACTGCCGTCCTTTTGACATTTTTAAATGAACTCTTATTTGAAAAAAAAACTTTTAAACCGTTTCAAAAACATGTATAATAAAGTAAATCAAAATAGCAAGCATGCTCCAAGTAATAAAAAAAATGAACAAAATCTACAAAAACTAATTACTCCAACAGGCTGTCACCATAACCCGCGAAATATTACATTTTAATAGATATGCATTTAGTAACTAACAAACCATGGATAAATAATGAAATACATTTCCCAGAATACAACTCAATAACTTCCAGAGAGCGTGCTCTAACATGTTACAATATGGAGGTTTAAAATTAAAAACTAAAACTGAAGGTCGTTTTGACAAGTAAAAATATTCCTGAAGTTACCTAGAGTGAATATTTCTAACGCCTTAACATTCACAGTTAGAAAAACTCACTTTTACTGCTGCTGTTGTCGCAGCCTTAGCGGGAACAACAGTTTCTTCTACCGGAGCTTTCTTCTCCCTTTCCACCTCCACTTTCACCTTCTCCCTGCCATCCTCTCCCGCTCGAGAGTCGAGCTTATTCTGCTTGCGGGACGAACCGTAGCTCCAGACAAAATAAGCGACTCCGCCTGCGAGAACGGCGGAGGCGCCGAGGACTCCGGCATTCCTCAGACCGAGCATGGTGCTCAACTGTCGGCTTAACTGCTGCGTAGTGGGCGCCGGTTAGCGTGTGAAGACGACATCATCTAAATAAACAAAAAAAACGGAGTTTGTCTATGCTACTCCATGCGACACTTCTCTTCAACAAGTGGATTAAGTCACAGGAAGCTCCGGATGAACTTCTCCATGCCAAATATCCGGGTGAAACGACTTCTGTTGATGCAGTTTCAAGAAGTGACCACCAGGTGGAGCAAATCTGTTTAGAGACGATAAAGTGAGATCTGACCAGCAGAGGTCGCTGCTGTTCCTGATTTGAGATACAGTTATGTTGAAACCGTGCATGAGCTTCTTATAAATTCTTTAATACACTTCTGGTGTTAAAAGAAGCATAAATATTAGCATAAATTCAATATTGTGACATATTGAATAATTTGCATTATGTTGTGTGCAAATGTTTTGAAATTCCAGATAAGTTTCATAATGCTTTAACTCAGAATTTTTGAGCTTAACATTCTAGACATCAAGTTCTTAAATGTTTAAAGTTGACTTACAATTACTTTCCCCATTGGTCAATTTTTCTTGCAGTTTAAACACTCAACTGAAGAGTAAGCAGCTTTTATCAGATTTTCTGCAACTTTATTGACCTTGTTTTATTTGCTTATAACTATAAACAAAAAGCCTTTAACTTGTCACTCAACGTTTCATCAACAATTTTTAATGGCCTTTAGCCAAAAAAAAAAAAAAAAAAATTCAAAGTGCTACGAACTTAAAGTATTTCCTTGAAAACTAACAGAACCAGCTAACTTTCTAGAGTTCAGGGTTATCCTGCCTCTTTCATCACTTTGTACTCTGTGTATGCTGCAGCCTGGCTCATCTTCCTCAGAGGAACCCCATGCCGCTGCTCAGGGGTGCTCAGCAGCCAGATCTTGGTGTTGCTTTTCTCATCCGTCTTTCCCAGGTTCTTCCAGGTCCGGGCCCGCAGAGAGGCATGCGTCTTCCGTCTTGGAGGTTTCTGTACCTGCTCCCCATCTGAGCTGAAAGAGTCTGCCTTCTCCAGCTCTCTGTGTCTCCGGGATTTGGATGTGGTGTGGACATTGCTGTAGCTCTTCTGCTTGATAGAGGAGAGAAGTCTGGCTCTGCTGCTGCAGTCTTCCACCGGATCTTTATCCACTTCACCTCCAACATTTTTCTCTTTGGGTAAAGCCCTCTGCTGCTGCCATGAGAAGAACTCATTCATACACTGTTTTAGGCGGGAAGTGAAGTCCGGATGAGTAATATTGACATCAACACGGACTTGTGCGGCCTCCTTCAGCTTCTCATAGTGGCTCTGGATGCCGGCCATTTCTTCCAAGATCTCTGCCGATTGGAGCTCCTCCAGTACCAACGCCTTGCTTAGGAACTCCTTGCATTGAACTTCCGGTTTTGTTTTCTGCTTCTGGAAGGTCAGAAAATGCGGCATGGCTGTGTAGTGGAAAGCTTTGGTTGCAGCAAGTTTGTGATAGATGTAGAGAACATCATGGTGCTCTGCCTCCTTAGACTCCGTGAGGAACCTCTGAACATGGCTCCAATCCTGCAGAGCTAGCCTGATTAGGACGGGTGTGGAGGCCGGCTGCGTGTGGTAGAAGGCGAACATCAGATACAAACCTCCCACCCGGATCTGGTAGCTGTGCGGAGGTAAGAAGTACTTCACAGCTGTAGCCAGAGCTACCCGGCAGAACCTCTTCATTTCGGAGTTGTTGGTGGTACCGAGGAAGACGTCAGAAAACTTCATTTCCCTCCAGATGGCCGAGAAGACGCCATACCTGACCGAATCCGTGCTCTGGAAGCGGGTCAGCAGCTCCTCCACGTCCTCAGTCAGCGGTTCGTTGAAGAAATCCGTGTAGAAAGATGGCATAGTGTCCAGAGAAACTCCACGGAAAAAGTCAAACCAGTTACCTGCTGTCCAACTAACAAGACAGGTGTTTCTCATTAGTGACTAACAACACCGCCCTCTAGTGGCTTAAGAACTATTTTGTTACCTTTTACTTTCGTCTCATACCCACTAATGATGCGTTCCAGTTGAAGTCGGAACTGGAAAATTTAGACTTCAAAGTTGGAAAAATCAACGCCGTTCTAACTGGGAAACTGGGAGCAATTAATGTAACCCACGTCTTATAAGGTGGACTTCCCGTTTCAATATGGCCGCTCCTCGCATAAACGGTTCTAAGATGAAGTTTATTTCACAAGACGTCTGATAATTTAAACTGACTGAACAAGTTAAAAGTGGTGTTTGCTTATGGAAAGTAAAACTTAAAATTATGTACTGCACAAAATGCTTGCAGGCATCGCCGTGTTGAAATTTTGAAATTCGGTCTTCCTTAATACGTCACCTCGATATGACGGCAAGTTCAGCTCCCAGTTGCAGTTATGATGGAAAATAAAGCATCAGATCACTCTCGTTTACAAGTATTTGTATTAATTATTTTAAAAAAGCCATTAAAGTGCTCGAATCTTACTTTTTAAATTAATTGAATATGTGTGCCCTTTGGGAGGGTCAACAATTATAAAACACAACTATAAAAATATTTTATCTGATCGAGTTCCTTAAGGTAGAGAATGTTTTTTGGAATGACAAATTCCTAGCAGAAAAATATAACATCAAAAATTACTTTAAATCACTGATTGTCAAAAAGAAATTGGGCCAGAAGATATTGTACAGTTTTTATTCTTGCATTTAAATGAATAGCTGGAACCCAGGACCAGACATTTGGATTTGGAACAAAGCCACTATGTAACTATAAAAATAGTTGTTTTTTTTAGTACAAATCATACACACATATCCAAAAAGTTGAAGTGAATCTACTATTGAGAAGCTAAAGTTTTTTTTAAATTTTATGTATTGTGTACATTCCGAGACACTGAGTTTGGGGTTTCCATTCTCTGTAAGCCATAGTCATAAAAGCATTTCTCTATGTAAAATAAATTTAGTTTCACTCTTTAAAGTGAAAAAAGTTTTTTTTTCATGTTTTTTAAAAATATGTAGTTGTATATAAATGTATTTCTAGAGAAAAACAAAAATGTTTAAAACAAAAGCAAACAGACTCGTCGTTCAGAGATTTATTAAGACTTAACAAAATGGACGCCTGTTGGGCCAAAATAGTCGTATTTTAGCATGCAAGTGAATCATAAGTTATTATCCACTGCAACACTTAAAAAAAAAAAAAAAAAACATGCTTCCCTGCAGCAGACTGAAATTGAAGAGATATATGAAGAAACAAAGGTGTAAGTGTGTGTGTGCGTGTGTGAAATCCCTAAGGATAGCAGTGAAATAAAAACCACAGCTTATTGTGTGGAAATAAATCTGTTTCTTTGAGCTTCCAGACAGCGCAGGTCATAAAATGGCTCTTAGTAATAGTTTAAAAAGAAAAAATAAACAGCAAACAATGTCAAGGTTATCAAAGTGACAGTTAAGGTCCATTCTGACTTTTTCTGAAGCTGTAAAATACAGTTAGTTTTTCTTACAGGGTTAGAAAAATACCATTCATTGCACAGTCGATTCAAATATACAGTTCAGCTGTTTGTAGTTTTCTTGTTCTGAGCTAAACAAAAGCATAAACACTGTTTCCAAACAATAAAAAGCATTTTTATTGAGTGTCCTTTAATTACTCACTGTAATTTCATCATCTATCATCAAAATAAGATACAGCTGCAAGAGAGCAAAGAGCACGTTTTGGTTGCACATCTGGATAAATTACCAGAAGAGAGGGGGGAAAAAACTAAATAACTTGAAATGAAAACCTCCAGACGTATCTCTGTTGTTCATAAACATCACTACCAGCCTCCTTTGCCGCCCTTCTTCTTCTTCTGTGGTGCCTTTTTGCGTGTGGCTCCAGATGAAGGTTTCTGCTGTCGTGGAGGGACCACGCCGCTGCCGCTGGGCGCTGTGGACGAGCCGGTCACCGACCCAGGTCTGGGAGACGTCGGGGGGCTGGTGGCGGTTTTACTGGCGTCACTGGAAAAAAAGAAGAACCGCACTGTGGTTAGACAGAGGTCACAGACAGAGACTGAAAGGTTTGACCTCCAGACGGCATTCTGACAACAGGATTATTGGCTTTGCACTGTAGTCTAAGGTTCAGCAACTCAGATTAGTTCTGTGTTAGGTAACCTTTTTAATAAAAAGGACCTTCAAATGTTCCAAAACAAAGCAAATCAAAAAGACACTGAACATGAGGACAGGAGGGGTGAAAGTAAAATATTTTCCCATTGTTTTGTTTATATAATTTTCTGTTTTGATGATGTTTTATAAAACGGTACGCGGGTTCATTCACTCACAGCTCGGCTGAAGCTGCTGCCGTCGCTCCCTGTGTGCCTTTTCCTATCGCCTCCTTCTTCTTCCCCTTCTTCTTGCCTCTGTAGTAGGAGCGCTCCCTCATTGGAAGCCACCTCTCCGGGTCTGGCGTCGCTTTGGGATCGTAATTCTTAGGAAGTTTGCCTTAAAAAAAAAAAAAAAACAAAGAAAAAATGACGTAGGACCGGTTCTGTCTTCAACAGACGTAGGAAACATGAACATCGGCATACCTTTCTTCTTTTTCTTCTTCTTTTTGACCTCGCCTTGGCTGAAAGAAAAATAAATGATCAGTATTTACTGATTATACAAATCAAGTATTACTCTTTGGTGTAAAAATTTTACCCAATTTCCTTTGGAAGGTTTTCTCCGACCACTTTGCCGGCTTTTTTCCTGACATAAGTGGCGCCGTGAGAGTTCTCCAGTTCGTCCACGTCCACGTTGAAGGACATGGTGTCTGCAGACGGCAGGTGCTTGCTCAGCCTGGAGACAGACGTTAAGGACGCTCAACAAATCTGTGCCAAAACCTTCACCTTGTTTGACATGCAACCAGGAAAATTCAAGCACTTTTCAAGCGTTTTCCAGGTACATTTTCAACTGTTCGCTTCAGATGTGGTATTTAACTGTTAAATTACAGTTAACATTGTGATTCATTCAGTTATTTTATTTTTAATAACAGTAAATAAAGAAATAACTGATACTTTCTAAGTGTTAAAAATATCTGGTTTTAACTGTTAGCATTTCCAAATTTGGGCTTTTAATTGCAAAACTTTGCAGTTTAAATATCAAGCACTTTCAAGGACTTTATCCAGAAATCAAGCACTTTCCAAAACTTGAAAACGCCGAGTTGAATTTCAAGGATTTCAAGCACCAGTACAAATCTTGTTCTATAATCATCATTCCAATATTTTAATAACTCTTTTCATCATTCTACTCTACAGCTAAAAAAAATTAAATTCCTGTCAGAAAAAAACTGTAAATTATTATCTTAAGCAACAAAAACCAAAGAATGCTTGAATTTACAACATCAAGTGAAATAACTTTGAAAGGATACGATTTGGCTTTATCCGTGTCCACCAGAGAATAAGCAGAGATAAGTTGTGCCAGTGTGTGAACGTCGTTTGTGTTTTGTCTGTGTTGAAAAGAAGAAAATGTAAATTAAAAAAAACAACAAAAAAAAACGTACATCTGGAACAAAATCTGGAAGTGTTTCTGCAGGACTCACTTCCACAGTTGCTCCAGGTCACTGATGGCTTCTTTTTTACGTCCGTGCTTCAGTTTGAAGTTTGCAGCTTCTCGCACCAGAGCCAGATGTGCAGCAGATCCGGGCTGTGAAGAGGAAGAAAAAGAAAAAGAAGAAGCAGAAGAAGAAAAAGAAGAAGCAGAAGCAGAAGAAGAAAAAGAAGAAGAAAGTCTGCTGAGACTTTTATAAAACCACTTTACCATAAACCAACTCAAACATGATTCTGAGATCAAATATCTACAGCCTCCTTCACCGTTATTGGCTCTAAATCAGAATTTATTTTATTACATTGGGCATGAAGAAAAGCACTATTAAATAATAATAATAAAAAAAACAGCAACTCTCAAAGGCAAGTCAAATAATTTAATAAAAATAATTATAAATAATATATCTCAATAAATATGAAAAGTATAGTGGAAACACACAGAAACAATTGGGACACTAAGGGCTAAAAAAATAAAGAAATAGTGGTAAAGATGTGGAAAAGCCTTAAACAAGCAGAAATATTAAATTACACTGAAAACTGGAAATATATCCAACCTTTTATATTTTTTACATTGAATAAATTCCAATTTTATGGAATACATGTTTTATAAATACCAAAGGCGCCACTATTAGTGGTACTTCTACTGTTCATTTGATAAAGTATTAGTTCCACTGGGACATTTTTCCACTTATAACATGAGGGTTATGTCTTCTTATTTACTTTGTCATCAATATTAAGGAATTATTAATTACTTAAAACAAGCTCCTATATGTTGTTGACATGTTAGTTTTGTCCTATTTCAAGTGCAGTAAAATAGTTGTATTAGAAACTAGACAAAAATACTTAGTAAGGTTGTGTTTTTGCTGTTGTTTCCAAGGCAACATTAAGGAAACAAAGCTGAAAAACCGACTAACCTGTTCAGCTTGGTAATACTCTATAGCTTGCTTGAAAACGTCGATAGCGCCGTCGATATCCTCTTCATGGGAGTACATGGTTACCAGAGCTGAAACCTACAACAATACACACATTTTAAATAAAATACTAAACTACCAGATCACTTTGATTTTATAGAAACCCTTAATAATCTAGCAGTCCCTAAAAGAGTAAATATTCTCACCATTCCTGCTTTGTGCTTGAACTCTTCAATGGATCTGAGGACGTCACAGGCTTTTGTAACGTGACCTGAACAGCAGAAGCATCAAAGACGGGTTTTATTTTTGGTATTTGTCATCTTGCTATGAGTTAAACACATTAAAGCTGAATGACTCCCACACCTATCTTTAAAACATAAGCATAAAATAAAAGGAAATTTTGTCTGGAGCATCTCAGTACCTTGTACTAAATACAGTTGTGCCATTGTTAGTTTAATGCCAGATGCGCTTTCTGGGTTTTGCTCAGAGAATTGCTGCAAAACAAAAACAATAAAAGTTTAAATCATTGATCCTCAAACACAAGCAGATATTCTTTTTCTACTGTTCTTGGAAATAACAGTCATCTTAATGTTTCCACGTGAGATTATGACATGTTTTAGTTGTAAAATGTTCCCACATTTGGCAAAAATAAATAAGAAGATTTATACTCATTATTAATGAAGGCAAGAAAAAAAAAAGTTTTAGGAATTGTTTGTTTTGTAGTTGGTTGGTTTTAGTGAGATCTGAATAATGAATTAATTATTATAATCTTTATAGTAATTAATTGCAAATTAGTTGACAATTATTTCAATAACTGACTCATCACTATTAATCATTTCAGGCCTACTGTTGATCTGAACAGTGGCAGCATTTCATCCAGACGTGACGGATGTGAATCAGGGTGTGGATCAGGATGCTCACCTGCAGGAGCTCCACCGCCTTGCTGTGCTGCTTCTCCCTGCACAGCTGAGCCGCCTGGATGAGGACGGGTCGAGGGTGACCCGGGTTCTGAGACTGAAGACTGGACGACAGTTTCCTGCACTGGTCAGCCTGTTTGCATCCAGACCACAAAGCCAAATTGGATTACAACAAAGCCATAAAATGCAGAAGAAGTGGATGAAATCAGAGCATTTTCCTCACCTGATTAGTGTACATGGCCAGCAGCGCTTTGTTGAACTCGATGGCCTGCAGCTGCTTCTTTGCCAGTTTGTATTCTACACCTTCTGCGTTTGTCAGCTTCACTTTTTTCTTTGAGTCGAACACGTTTTGGTCCTAAAAGAACAGAAAGGCTGTTATTATCAGGCGTTTTTAGTTGAGGAGGCTTCGCTTTAGGATGGCTAGCTCTGTCCCTACCTTATTGATTGTGATGATGTTGTTGGCGGTCACAGCCAGAAGCCCGACATCAGAGGGCCTGGAACCAGATCAGATTACCGTGGATCAGCCATTCAAGATGTTAAAACGAGAAACACTGTTTAAAATGAGCTGACCTGAAGTGGTCATGTTCTTAAAAATCTGCGTTTCCATTACATAAAGGGCTAATTGTTTTATAATATGTAGAGTTTGTCAGGAACCTCTCAGGTTGCTGAATAGAAAAATAAAAGATTAAAAGAATAACGTACAGATATTCATACAGTACTCTCTGTAGTGCTTGAAGAAATTTTAAAACTTCGCTCCATGAAGTGCATTAACTCACCAAAGCCATAAAAATCACGTTTTTTCCATCATGCTTCAAATTTTCTCCGCTAAACCCTCAGCTTTTGTTTTATCACATCCTCATATTAGTCATTTTTATTGACAAGTTGCTTTTTCAGCTCGGCAGAATGAGCGCCATTAGGATAAAACTTAGTTAGCTTGTTGAGCTTTTATATTTCTAAACAGAACCGCACGAAGTGAGTTTATAAACCCACACCGGCCGCCATCTTTGCTTCTGGGCCGCTAAAGGATGACCAGCGGCGCCCTCTGCTGGATGGCGGCCAAACTACAACACTGAAATAAGGTCTAATCGATTAAAACTAATTTTAACCAAATAAACCATTAATCCACAATCGTAAGTTTATTAACCGTTTGTCTCCCAAGTAAAAATATTTTTAACACTATTATCATTTCCGTAACACGTCTTGTGCAGAGTCTGGACTCACTTGAGCTTGATGACCTGGTTGTAGAGCTGCAAAGCCTCGTCTGTTCGGCCCTGCAGCTGCATGATGTACGCCATCTGAGAATGGATGACCGCCAGCTCTGACTCGATGTCTTCTTCAGTCACGTCCTGAAACAGGCAGACAAATGGTCGCTGTCTGGTGGCAAAATTAAACAATCTTCAAGCCACAAACACAATAGCTGATTTTAAGTTGAATGCCTCTAAAACGAATGATCAAATTAATTCACAATTTAATAAATAATCTAAATATTGTAATAGTTTTATTTGTACAGTTTTTAAACAGAACAAAGGCTTCAAAGTTAGCTCAAAATGTTTCAGTTATAACATTTTGAAGGTGTAAAATGACTAGAGAGGTCTATTTTATTAACTTCCAGTTTAAACTTGCATTTCACATTCTAAACGCCTGTAAAAAAAAGCAAGAAAAAAAAAGCTTTATTTTATTCATTTATTTCTGTCCTGTTGAACGTGGAACATTTTGCATATAATTAATTCATAGTTTGATAGAGCAAATCTGTGTGCAATTTATTTTGTGATTGTGGAATAAATACAAAACTGCAATGCAATAAAATATATAAAAATATAAATGAATGAGTTTCCTTGGAGGAATGTGATTTAAAATTACACTAAACAATAGATTAATAAAATAAATTAAGGAATAAAGTCTCATTTAAAATTGTCCACACTGACAAATGATTACTAATAAATGGAAATATTGTTTGCAATGATTGACATTTGCTTTTATTTCTGATCAATTTTTATACCAAAAGCAAATGTTTAGTCACATGATCTGTACTGAAAGGAATTAATTGGGTAAAATTCTCCAATAAGTAATTAAAGTCTGGAAATGTTTTATTTTAGCAAATAGATTATGTGTGCAATTATCTGGAAAATATTTTATATATTTGCAAAAACAAATATAAATTTACAATGCATGATATGCCCTTTTATGTACTTTTATTATAATAATAAACTATTGAAGAATTATGAGCAGCAGCTTTCATAATCTTCTCAAACCTGTTATTTTCTCAATAATTCACAACTTTACAAACTTGTAGGATAACAACAGGCATTTATAGCATCTGGAATTATTTTTTATAAACAAAATAAAAGCAATGACTTACCGAATCCTCTGCCAATGAGACTCTACAAAGTTCTGCCAAAAACAGAAAAAATATTAACCAGTTAATATCAAACACTTGATTTAAGCATGAATGGAAACGTAGCAGTTCGACGAGGTGAGTAACGATAAACATGCTGACCTTCTGCTTGCCGTAGTGTGTTGAAGGCCTCCGCCAGCTGCCCTTGACCAATCAGAGCGCAGGCAGTGTTGTAACAGAGCTCATACGTCGACTCGGAAAGACCCAGATCCTCCTGCAAAGGAAAAAAGATCGACTCTAGATCAGTTTTTAAAAAAACAACAACAATAAAATCACACTCATGCAACTTTATTCAGTTTATTGTGAATTTTTGGGTGTCTGACCATTGATGAATGTTTAGTGTTCAGCTTTTCTCAAAAACAAATGAATATAAAAGAAATAATGAGTTTATTCACTCAATTTTACAAGTTTTAGAAATAATTTACAAGTTCACTATCTTACAACACTAACTATGCTCGAGTGAGCAGGAAGAAGAAAAATCTTGCATAAGCCCTTTCTCTTTCTCAATATTTACAAAATAAAATTTCACATTAAGTTAGCAATATAAGTTGCAAACCGTATATCATTCCCTCCGTTGTTGACTCTAAATGTATAAAACTTAATTATTTTTTTCTTATAAAGTGTTTTGAATTGGCTCATAGTGGAGCATTTTTTCAAATTCTCATTCAAACTATTCCATAATTTCACTCCATACACAACTGTTTTAAAGTAGTACACACAGTTTTATTTTTGAAATCATACTTCCTTCTGTTATTTCTGTCACTTGAGTTTGAGACAAAGAACTTCTGTAAATGAATTGGCAAAAATCTCTTTAACCAAATCTCTTAGTTTCAAGATATTTGAGTGAATAAACAATAAGTATGTTCTCTATTATTCACTTTATATATCATTCTCATAGCTTTATCTTGTGTCACAAACAAAATAAAACATAAATAAAAACACAAACTGAGAAAAGAAAGCTGAATCGCCACAATATGAAAAAAAAGTTTTTAAAAATACTGAACTCGTCAAAATTGTAGATAATTGTTAATTTTACATGTTTTGTAGTGAAAAAAGATGAAATGTGACCTATGTTTGAGCATTACCATCGGCACCTTCTCCCACTGACTCATCGCAGCCACTACGGCAGCCAGGTTGGTCTTCCTCTCCTCCTCGTACTCATCCTGAGAGTTCCTGATCAGGTCTGTGTAGACGGTCTTGCACTCGTCGTAGCGCTCCAGTCTGTACAGCTACACAAAGAGAAGAGTTCAGATCATCTGACACACTAATAGGATCTGAACAGGAAGCATGAAGCCACAGTGCACCAGGAAAAGTCATTACACTGAACAATAAAAGCTTAATCTCTGTCTCCATGACGCCATTACTGAGATTTAGTAGAAAATTAAACCAGGACATTAGCGGGTGTAATTATGTGTATTTATAATGATACATATCAGAAATACAAGCTACATGAACACCAATAATAAGTACAATTTTCTCCAAGAAAAGACAACAGTAAAAACATTAAAAAGTCTCACCACTTGACCATAAAGTTCCTTCAGCTTGTCTGTCTGGTCAGGAGCACTTTCAATGGTCTTCAGCGCACTTTCCACTCTGTTCAGCCGATACTCACAGTACGCCTTCTCAAATACAACGTCACTAATATATAAAAATATTAAAAAAAAGAAAAAAAAAGAGACAAAATTACATTTCCCAGATTCAGACAGTTTAAATATGCACTCTAATCAAACTGATTCTTCTTTTGTTCTAAAAACTGAAGGTTTTTGTGATTATGTTTATTTTTTAAAGCATCACAAAACTATTAATTTTATTAATCGCTTTGAACCGATTATTGAAATAATCGCCAACTAATGTAGTAATTAATTTATCGTTAAATGGAGCACCCAGACTCAACAAATTACAAAATCAGAGCAGTAATTAAGTCAAAACAGCACAAATTATATACATTTTGCTCTTAAGATATATAAAAAAAACCCTGTCTGTAAATATGTTATGCTCCTCAAGTGACATAGTTTTAACATCACCTGGTTCAAATTATGCATAAGAAAGATCTCAGATTAAGTACCTTTTGCTGTCAAATTATTAATCAGTTAATTGAAAATATATTCAACAGATTAGTCCTACACTGTACTGATGTTAAGTCAAGCACAGTGGGATGAGTTTCTCACATGTTGAAGCATTTTTTAACTGGAGCTACAAAAGATCAAGTGTGGAAAAAACAAATTTTTATTGCATTTTAGTTAATAAAATGTTTATTTGCATCTTTTATTGCATTTCTAATGTTGTATAAAAAAGGCTTAAGTGTTTAAATGAAAATCTGCAGGAATTGCCAATTAATTGTTAAATCAATAGAATACTAAAACAATTGTTAGTTGCAGCCCTATGTGAAACATAAACAATTTAATATTTTGGTAGTTGTTTACCTCCCAAGCACTTTGGTGTGAGTGTTCATGACGTTCAGCGCCTCCTTGAAGCTCCCATTCTGAACAAGACAAACAATCTTACAGTGAAGGGCCGTCACATCGTCCCTGTTCTCATGCAGAACTATAGCAGAGGCAGAGAAAAGAAAAACAAGTTATTAAATAAAATAATAAAAGCAAGAAAATGATCAAATTACATCTGAATTATCAACCCAGTTTTAGTTTGTAAACAACTAGGGATGCACAGTTAGGAACACTACATCACAACAACATAATATCCTAATATTCTGAAGACCTAATTAATAATTATAAGTGCACTAATCTTTTATTTTTTCATTTTATTCACTACTACGTGAAATAAAAAATATCTATCATTTTGATGCAATGCAGTATCATGTCCTTTTGCTACTTATGCAAAACAACGAAATGTCAATGTTGAATATGTGTATGTGTGTTTATTATTTTAGTTTTAACAGATCCGACTTTGACTTGAAATCAAAATATTAAAGTTGAAGTGGTAATCAACTCCTCTTAGCTCAACAGTAGGTCAGGGTAGGGACACGTCATTGGTCAGAATACACCGGTGCAAAATCTAGTGAGAAAATTTAACTCAATAATGACGTAACATAAAAACACAACACTCCTTCCTCGTCTGTTTCATAAACTGAAACACTGAGGTTCTCAAACAACAAAAAACGGAATGTCTCTCTTAACAGAGTTGACATTTTTAGCTTAGCAACATGCTATTAAGTAGCAATGATCCCCAGCAGAGTATGTCGCTAACAGCAACCGCGGCTCGGGTTTTAAAGACGGCCCTGTCAGGAATTGACTCTTACTCTTAGAAAGCGCCTTCAGAGCTCGGGTGTAGTCACCACTCTGTCCGCAGCGGTTCACTTCGGTCCATAGCGAAGCCACGGCCACCCCTCCACTCGCCATCTTTGCTGAATGGACCGACAAGGTAGGCGGAAGTAGAATGTGTTACTTCCGGGCTGGAAACCAAGTATTTACAAAAAAAAAAAATCAACATTTACACATTAAAGGACGAACATAATAAAACCTTGATATTTGATGCAGGTTTATTTTGGTGAAGCAATTAGCATTTTCCTTTAAATTTTTTCATTTTAAATTGTCGCAGTCCCATGACGTCTTCATAGCCACCGATTAAAATCGGAATACACATTTCAGAATGTGGAAACAGAAACAGGCCGAGCTGTCTTTCAAACAGGGAGCTCCAATTCGTCATAATTGAATAATGTCACAATGTTGTGATACTAATGTTGGAGAAAACAGTCGAAATAATAGGATAATAAAATTTTAATAATATGAGAAGAAATAGGCATGGGGACACATACAAAATTCAGATCTAGACACAGCTGATATGCAAATTATGTGAAATTTTAATTTCAGCTCAAGTATTTACTCAAGAGGCAGAACACAAAGGCTTGTTTACAACAACAAAATCTAGAGCTGGCATATCATATCACATTGAAGTTCGTTGTCACAATGTAAAAAAAATATGAATAAGTACTAAAGGTAAGTACTTCTGCAACACATTGTACAGTCAGTGAATTCCAGCCAGGTGCAGGTTTTTCGCTTTTAAAGTACTTTCTTAAAAAGAAATTACAGTCATTCAGTGAAGCTACTCCAGTAAAATTAAAAAGTACAGTGCAGTTAAACTAATTCTAAAAGTATTTTCTCCTCAAAGTTTCGCATGTAAATGTAACTAGTTACTAATTACCACTAGCTATGTGTAATAATATATTTGCATTTATTGTAGATAGGGTAAATTAAGATACATTTTTATAAACGTGTAACCATGGACTTAAGCGTGCTAATGATCCTTGCTTGATGGAACATTGCTAAAAAGTGTAGCAACGTTAAAGAATAAAGAGGTTGATCCTCTAGTTTTTATGTGAAAATGTAAAATTCCGATTGTAGCAGTAACACGCGAAAGCCTCATATTCGGAACTCCTCATCCGTAGAGGAGGGGAGAAGGGGAGGAGAAGAAGAGGGGGTACTGTTGTCATCCGTCAGGGCAGTGTGTCGAGCTTTTGTCCAGGAGAAATGGCCGGGATCAAGGGTATAAAAAACGCCCCAGCTTTCCTTGACGATTCCTTTTTATTTAAATGGAAGCGGCTTTAAAATGCGCAGGAGAAGAGTGATGCGTTTAAAACACCCATCCAGCTAACGGAGGGTGTATATTAGCAACGGTTCCGCCGGTCACTGAATCTAGCTGAATCACCCGCAGTGTTTGTTAGCGTCTGTTTCCCAGCTTCCACATTTATTAATATGTAGTAAATAACGTGTAACATCGCAGTTAATGTCGCTCTTGTTAGCCCGCGTTTTCCCTGAGCTGCTCTTGTAGCTAATTTCGTTGCTCGGATTAACGGCTGTTGTTAGCCAGCAGCTCCTAATAGCACGACAAGCGGTTCCACGTGAAATCAGCCGGACCATCACATTATAAAAGCCTCGGTCCTCAGCCGGTTCTGTGGCGTTACTGTGATGCTAACTGAGTCTGAAATCCTCTGCCTCTTTTACAGCTCTCATCAGCCTCTCCTTCGGAGGGGCCATCGGCCTCATGTTCCTCATGCTTGGATGTGCCCTACCAGTATATGAGTGAGTACAACCATCACACACTGTGTTAGGGTGTGTGGGAATCAATGTGTGATCCCAGTGCAGCCTTTAATGGGGGTCAGGGTTCATACGCAGCCTGCCTGGAAAAACATTGATTTTGTTAGGGTGACCAGATTTTGATTTCCAAATAAAGCAGTAACAGTCCTGAAAACACTTCAGTCATACTCTGTTTACTTAATTAGACTTTTGATTGTTGCATTTTTAAAATGTTCCTTCTCTATGTGGTTAGAAAGAATACATTTCATAAGTCACCAAGTGCAAAAATCACTTTTAGATATCTTGATATAAATAATAATAGAAATAATGTATTAGAAAAGTAATACATAACAATAGGTCACTTTTTCAGTTATACTCTAGAAAAATTACACACAAAAAATTATTCATCTGTAATAATATGATATCACAAAGTCAATCAATCAATTGAACTCTCACTCAGTTGTTTTATAGTTTGTGTGTAAATGCCCTCTGGATGCCCCGGACAGAATGTGAAAAGAGGACATTTAGACTCTCGAAATTTTGATTTCACATTTTCCACGTCTGAATGGACAAGTATATTTATGTCCAGACAATTCACTATTCCTTTGTCTAAAAGTTTTGTCCTTCCTTTATACGTTTCTTCCTCCATTAAATCATTCTTTGTTTCCTTCCTATAGTCCTACATTTCTTCCTCCTTTGTGTCCTCCTAACTTCCTTTCTCATGTCTCTGTTCTTCACTCCCTCATAACCTTTCCTCTTTCCTTTCTCTCTTCCTCAGGGCCTTGCTTCTGTCCCTCCTTTTGTTTTTCCTTTAGTTTTCAGTCTTTCTTCTTTCTTTCCTTTGTGCATTCTTTCAATCTTTCTTCTGTCCCGTCTGCCGTCGTTGCTTCTTTTTTGTCTTTTCCATATCTTACTTGTGTCCTTCATTCTTTCCTTCATTTTGTCCTTTTATTCATCCCTTGTCCTCCTTCATTTCTTTCTCCTTTCCGATTCTCTTTCTTCCTTCCTTGATTTGTTTTTTCCATTGTTTCTACCTTTTTTCCTTTCTTGTTCTGCTTCCCTTTTTCTGTCCTTTTTTATTTCCTCCCTTCTGTCCATCGGTCCTTCCTTTCCTCTTGTCCCTTTTTACTAATCATCTCTTCTTTCATTCTGGTTTTTGCTGTGCTATATGTAAAGTCTGCACCATAAACTAATCGTGGATGTTGATATTTTATATTTTAAAGTGATCATAAAGGACTAAAAAGTCTCAAAAATTGAGTTTACAGGGAAAATGGGCAGAAACCCTGGAGGTTGCAGTTCCAAGGCCAGATCACAGTACAGATTTTTTAAAGATGTTCCTGCAATAAAGCATTTACTGCAGATCTGTGCAATATTATCAATAGACGCACATCCCTGTAATTCAATCTGTCTGCTGTTTGCTAGGTTTTTAATTTAATAATATTAAAAAGCCCTTCTCTCTTCATCTAGCAGTAGTAGAAGGTTGGACTTGATGATTTTCAACATGCTGTCCCGACATGAACTGGATAGCAAACCAAACTTGACATCTGATTCTGAGAAATAGTTACACAAATCATGTACTGATGAAACTTTTAACGACACTCCAGTTCTTAACTGAGGAAGTTAAAAATAGTCTAATAAGGGCAAAAGATTGGTAATTCAATCCCTGACCTGCATCACCACAGCATGTGTGGAATTGTGTCTCCTTCATTTGTCCCCTTCCTTTCTTTATGCAGCAAATACTGGCCTTTGTTCCTCCTCTTCTTCTACATCCTCTCACCCATCCCTTACTGCATCTCGCGGCGGGTGGTTGATGACACAGACTCTGCCAGCAACGCCTGCAAAGAGCTGGCCATCTTCCTCACGACGGGCATCGTCATCTCAGCCTTTGGCCTGCCCATCATCTTTGCTAGAGCTGAAGTGGTAAGTCATGGAGACTTGGTTGTTTCTAAATGTTTTTATGTTGGTTTTCTTCCAGAAATAAACATTACACGTGACCTACTACGCTTCTTTGAAAATGGGTTGTACAAAACATGTTCATTACTTTTTTGTACAAAATTATTCTTAGATAATATAATTTTAGTCTGCTCAGTTCTACATATTTATAGTTCCTTTCAGAATGAGCTTTAAATGGCATCTTGTCACTTTAGAATCAAATAAACTGCTGCTAGCCACACCCCCAACTCAACATTTACACTTGCACCTAAAAATGGAGCCAAACAGATACACAATTATACAACCGTGCATCTTTGAAAAGGAGAAGTAGAGCCTTCTGCACAACTAATAAGAATGCAACAAGTAGTTTCTGCATGGTAAGTCAACAACAAATCACTTGTTTATACAGAGCATACAGCGGTAAAACCAGCTGACCAAATGTGCTGGAGCTCAGCTCGGGTTTCTAGGTAACCGGCTGGGCTTCACTGAGGTTGTTAGGTAACTGCAGTGCCTGCTGATTTGTGACGTTACATTCTGAAGGTTTTTGAAATGGCTCATTTTTCAGACACCAAACAACATCAACTTATTGCCAAAAAAAAACAAAAACCATCTGGGTGTTTTTAAAGTGCTTGGAATGTTTATAGAAGCAGTGGAAACCTAAATGGAAGCACAAAAACCTCCAAAATGTGAATTTTGCATTTTGTTCACGTAGGCATTTCTCTCATTAAAGTATTGACAAAAAATACCTGGGTGTTTTATTAACCCAAATGGAAGTATAAAAATGTGCAAAAGGTGAATTTTGCATAATATTACCTAACAGTCCCTTTAAATGTTCTGTTGATACTCCTGTTTAGACCCTCTGCTGGTCTGACCTGAGTTGTGAATGCTCTGGTTTTTTGCAGATCGCCTGGGGGGCGTGCGCGCTCGTGTTAACAGGTAATGTAGTCATCTTCGGGACCATCCTGGGCTTCTTCCTGGTCTTCGGCTCTAACGACGACTTCAGTTGGCAGCAGTGGTAAAACGCTAAATGAAGGAGAGCGGCCGGGGGGGGGGCCTTAGTCTGAACTGTTTTTATTAGCATTACAATTATTATTATTATTATTATTATTATTATTATTATTATTATTATTATTATTATAGTATTACTGTTTGGTTGTTGTTGTTATTCATATGATGACCACCCATCCATAGACTTACACCAGACCAGTGCAATACTTTGTTGTTTTTTTAAATCGCCTCCTTTATGTTGACACAAGAAAGATGGAAAATGCTGACTTGTACTGATTTTATTTTTTAAATTTTGTTTTAGGTTTTGTTCTCTGACTTTTGTACTGTGAGATTTCTCCTTGTGGTTATTTGACCTAATGCTTGAGTCATAAAGAACAACATAGCAAGTTGCCGTTGGTATTAAAGGGTGACATTTTGCTAAAATAGCACAGATTTTGACATCTTCTGTAAATGTAAAGTGACTCACTTTATGCTTTGACACTTGGTGAGAACCTGACTGTTAGGGCAGGAATCAATAATGAGCGTCTTTTGAAGAAGTCATATGTGGCTTTTCCTTTTCACTTGGGTTCAGGCTTGTATCTCTGCAAACAGATGTTCTCTCCTTCATTTGGCTCAGACACTAAGGAAAAAAATAATACTCTTTTATGTAATTGTCATGGAAAAACATTTCAGAGGATTGTTTAATGCAATATGCAGGCATGAGCAGATATTCAGTACTGGCATTAAAAGATAAAATAACTACTACCAATGCATTTTCCTTCCTAATAAACATTATGCTCACAAATGCACTCATGGAATTTTAAATTTGCCACATGGTTTGAAAGTTAACAGAAACTTAACGTTTCATACTTTGAAGATATTAATTTATTCTGCCTCTAAAATGTGACGACATGTGACATTTAAACCTGTTTTTGATTAGCAAATGACACCAGGGGAAAGAACAGCAGGCTAGCACGCACCCAGATATCAGATTCTGTCACCATCTTACTTAGCATCTATTTGCTCTGATTACACCCTGTGTGAGAGGTCTGCACCGCCCAGAAAGCAAGAAAAGCCTTGCTTTTTTTCAGCAGCTAGCTTAGCTTAAGGACAGTAGCGCTGTTATAAAAACCACATAAACGGCACCTAATTATCACTAACAGCCTTTAAACATTGCAATCTGACTCCTTGATCGTATCAATGAACTCGCCTACGTGTTAATTAAGCACATTTGCTTTGGATTTTCTGCACATTTGCTCCGTTTCCATGATAGAAACTCCAGCACATTCACTGCTTTGACTCTGGAGGTCGTCTCTGAGGTCTGAGATTTTGCTCCAGCATGCAGCTTGAGGCCGTTAAACTGCTTTAGGATCTAAACGTGGAGTTAAGCTGCAGCCTGAATGCAGCTCTCCTCCGAGGGGAAGGTTTAGATCTTCAGGTTGTATCGTGTATTTCCGTTTTCTTCGAGCCCTGATGGTGCCTCTTCCTCTGGCAGATTCCCAGACATATCTCACAATCACAGATTGTTCCTCAGATTTAATACTATTTATTCTAGAAACGTACACAATGTTCTCCGTAGCAACTCAAAATCACCAAATTACCTCAAAAGACAGACAATGTATGGAGGAGTTTCTGTTAAATAACATTTTTAATTCCTCTGACCCCAACTTGACACTTCATAAAGTGTGTTCAGATTAAACAAGATATAAAAAGTGCTGAATGTTTTTAATGGTTGTCAACATAATAGATCTGTCAGCGGATTTTCATTATTCTTTCTAAAATTTCTAAACTGATCAGAAATTCTGAATTAGTTATCAGACTTTGAGATTTATATTCAAATTTAAATAAATTGCACTGACATTGTAATGTGTCTACGCTACAGAACTAGTTAAAACAGCACAAAATCTAAAACCTGTAAAGATAAATATCAGTGTTCATTTTTCTTTGAGCTCTAATCTGACAATTCAGATTTTGTTTTCTAAAATACATCAAAGAGAAAAGATGTGCTGCAGTTTGTTGGATTGAGATAATCATTTTGAAACATCATACGATTATTTGATGTTTTCAAAGTCATTTCTGTTCATGGATCGAACTGCATGTTCCTAGCATTCATCTGATGTTTTTTATTTCTTAAAGTAAGATAACTGCATCAAAGTACATGATGGTGATTGATGAGTTTATTTAACAAAAAATGGTGAAAGTTCTTAGTGCTCATGCATTTCCTCAATGAAGGAGGAAATCTGATTTTTTTCAAAGTTTTACATATAAAATCTATAACATAAAAACTGTCTGATTTCTAATCAACTGCCATTAAAATATATTAAAATGTTGACTGAAATTTTTAAAGATGACTCGCTAAAAGTCAATCTCCAATAATCACAAATTCACAAAACATTCAGACTTCTGTCATTTAATTCTTAAGGCCAGTACCTTCCTCTGTAGGCTATAAAATTATAGCGTTCGTTTCTTATTCTGGGCAGAATGTTTTTTATGCATGCTGTCTGAAACATATGAGATGGATGTGCTGCAGAAGTATAAAGTATCTTTATTCCTGTTCGTTCAGCCTCAAGTAAAAACTAATTCCTCTGTTCTTGGTTTTTAGATCGCTCATTTTGTCAGTAGATATTAAAACTGCAGCTGCATCGTTTCACTGTCTCTCTCTTCGGGGGTTTATTTGCTTTCTAAAAAAGACAGGGTTAAATTTTTCCTTGAGTTTAAATCTTTAATCATCCAGTTAAAGTAAATTTCAGCATCCAATCCACTTTTCCAAGATCAAATTAAGGAGAAGACGAGTTTGTTTTACGTTGTTTTTTGTTTTGTTTTACTAGAGATGCACTGATCAGGATTTTCTTGACTGATACCAGTTTTTTGTTTTCTTTTGTTCCGAACTGCCAATTCAGATTTTCGTTGTAAGGACTGTAAAAACTTAAATGTGTAAATTTGAATCTAATAATGAAAAACTTTCATTGATAAACTTTTTACTAAATTAAAAACAAAGTGCATCAACAGCCCAGATGTTCACTGATGCATTTACAGATCCATAAAATTGGGATTTTTGATTCATTCAGTGAACAAGGCCAGGACTAATCAACCAGTTTCAATCACAGCTAGATGCCACGAGGTATTTAGTTTTTACAGAAATCAAAATATGATTGACCAAAATATTTAGCCTCCATTTTCAGAACTGCTAATTAAAGTGTATGACTTTTTTCTCTTTTTTTCACACGACCCGATCAAACGCATTGATCATATTAATGGTTTCTGTTAAAAACACTGAATAAAAAAAGCTGCTACTGACGTTTATGTGACTATAACAATGTTTGGTTGTATGCAAGTCCATCTGCAGGGTGACCTCCAGAGGTGTGAACATCTGTGTGTTTCCAGTTTTAAGCTCAATGAGTTAAATGTTCTGAAGTTTATTTTGTTTGATAGTCTGCTGTGAAAGCCCTTCGATGTGACAGAGGCTGGTGTGAAGCTCTGGGATGGGTTTCTGTGTTTTTCTGTTTCTGTTCATGATGATGAGAGGATATTGTATTTATTTATTTTGTCGAGTCAACGCTCGGTTCCTTTATTTTTTAATCTACAACGCTTGTGTTGAAGGAACGACGTCAGCATGGTGATTTCCTTTTTTTTTCTCCTTTCTTTATTTTTAATAAATGCCATTTTTGAACATCCGCTCTGTTGAATGACTAATAATGTGTCCAACTTTGAAGCATTTATTACCAAGAAATCTGAAAATCCGACTAAATATACCCTCCGTCACATAAAATTTCAGATACGCTACATTCAAACACATTTTGTGACATCACAGAGAATAAGCATATTAGGAAAAGTTCTGATTTGATCAGCCTTTAATGCAATCTTAAAGGAAAAAGTGATTAGTTTACTGATATAGACACAGAAACTGACTAGCTGCCTTGTTTTCATGCTCTGCTAACCACAGACTGCTTGCCATATTTTACCAGAGTTCATTATTTCGTTTAGAAGGATAGATTTGAGATTTCTTATTGTCATCAATATAAGGAATAATTTCTAAATCGCTACAGACACTTTGGAGCTGAGACAGCCATTTGCATTTGAGACAGGTGTGTTGGAGCCAGAAAACATTCGATCAATGATATCGAGCTGCACGTTTCAAGAATAGAGTGGCAATTATATTAAAAAGCGTATTAATTTCACCCAGAAAGATACATGACAGTGAAATGTAAGTAATAATGAAGTTAAGTTTCTCATTGAATGAGTTTTGTCTCCCTCTGCCGGCAAGAAATAGGAATTACACCCGTCATATTTATTACTAGACACTACATTTTAATTGTGATTTCATAAATTTGTTAAACTTCATTAAACCAAAACTAAATTATGACTGCAAATCTAAACATGTAAATTGAAATAATAAACTTTTTGTGCTGGTAAATGTAGTTTCACAATGTTTTCTGCTACAGCCTAAACGAAGAGATTCACAGTTATGTAGCTTTATCAATAAAGATAAATATATTGGAGTTTGTGAACTTCATAAAAGAAGATTAAGAAATGTAGCGACCAAAAGCATCACATTCCAGAAAATCAATAAGTTATCTAATAAATATTCATAGATTTTGCATTAAAATGTTGTAATAAATAAAAAAAAATAAATGAAAAATGTCCATAACCTGTTAAACACATGTATGTGATCTTCATAAGTTAAAATCATGCATTATTTCAGTATTTATTCATATTTTCAGTGGATCAAGATTTTTCCCCATGAAATTGTGTGTTTTATAAAAAAATAATACACCTTTAAATAATTATGCATGGAGTTATTACTTTACTACAGGCTTTATTTATTGTTTTTATATTACATTCATTTTTTCAGGGAATTTAAATGTTATGTTTTTCTTATCTTTAAGGCATAAATCATCAAAAATGAAAATAGGGTGCAATTATTCTTTGTGATTTATGAGTTTAATTACTGAGAAAAATACTTTGCTATGCGATTCAGTATTCAGTCTGCCTGCGATCCACAATAGCCTCAAATGACAACCATTAATCTCGAGTAAAAATTTATTTTTTTGTCCACAGACTACAAAAAGTATAGAAAAATGAAACATTTCTCACATTTTGAACTTATTTTTTAATGGACTGATCAGAATTTTCTCTGTTTTATCAGAAAAATCTTTACATTTTCTCACTTTAACGACCAGGTGTTGAAGTGAATAAGTGCCAGCAGGTTAAACCATTCCTAGAAATGTTCTCCCGACTGCAGATAACATGGATTCACATAACAGAGACATAGTTTAGTGGCAGCAAATTATGAAATATTTACATCAGGGCTTGAATTGTAGCAAAACATCTGTTGCTAAAATGGTGAAAAAATAACCTAACCTCAAGTCTTTCTACAATGTTACACAACAATAATACATTTTAAATCTTGTTTTCAGTGTAGGTTTAGATTTTTTTTGTTCAATCCCATATCATGAATCTCTGACCTGAGGCTGCAGCTTTCAAACCTGCTGCTAGACTCAACTTGCCCGACTCTTTCAGCCCTTTCTCTGCCTGTAGCAACACTTTCTCCGTAGATTTGCATGTAGCATCAAATCACATCTATAATTGTAGGATTGAAACAAGTGACGTTGTAGCTTTCTTATGATTCAAGCATTAATGAAGACAAAACCCAGTGTTTGCAGCAACCCGCCCACTGCAGGTATGAGCTTCCTTTAAGACCTGTGAGGAGTTGAACATTGCTGGAAATGTGCACACCGTGTCCTTCCTGACCACGCGGCACACCCACACCTCGCAACCCGAAAGGACCAGGATGGAAGAGTTTTAGATCTGGAGCAGTCGGGAATGGACAGACAAGCAATGAAGAGGTTTTTCAGAGCCCAGAGGGACGAGGACTACAGTCAGATCCAGTACCTGACCGCCAAATGCACCCGCCTGGCTCATGACAAGGGTAAGTCATGCAGGTCGAGACTTTCAGATGCTTAGATTAGATTACTGGATGTAAAGTGTAGACTGCAAAAATACAAAATCTTACCAAGTATTTTTGGTCAAGTTTCCAGTGCAAATATTTTAGTACACTTGAAATAAAACAAATAAACTTACAAGTAACCTTTTAGCTATAAGAGCTTGTTTTAAATCAATAATTCCATGATGTTGGTGGAAAAGCACTTATAGATTTTTTTTCACTAAGCAAGACAATATGTACTTTTTCCATTAGCAATAAGACATTATTTTCTTAAAACATATATACCGTATTTTCCGCACTATATGGCACACCGGATTATAAGGCACACCTTTAATGAATGGCCTATTTTAAAACTTTTTTCATATATAAGGCACACCACATTATAAGGCGCATAGAATAGACGCTACAGTAGAGGCTGGAGTTGCGTTATGCATCCACTAGGTGGAGCTGCACTAAAGCGAATGTCAACAAAACAGTCCGACTCCGGTCGGCGAGGAAAGCCTTCCGACTGGGCCGGGGCGTCGCCGGACGATGGTCACCCTTCTCTGTTCGAGCACAGCATGTTGGTGGAGAACGTGGTGCTAAATGACCTGCACAAGGTTGGTAGGTAGATAGGTCAGTCAAACTTTATTAACAAACCAGCGTTCTGACAACTATCCCAGCATGCACCGCGCGCTTCTTCTACGGGCGAAAATGAAGTCGGCGGCTGCTTACCGTAGTTGCTCGACCTGTTGTGGCTCAATATTGGTCCATATATAAGGCGCACCGGATTATAAGGCGCACTGTCGGCTTTTGAGGAAATTGAAGGTGTTTAGGTGCGCCTTATATTGTGGAAAATACAGTATATGAAAAGCTACTTTTTCTTTTCTTTATTTAACCAGGTAAACCCCCACTGAGATCCAGACCTCATTTCAGAAATCTGCAACACAACAACCTGATTACACAAATTAACACATTTAAAGCAAATTATAAAACAGCTTTTAATGAATAACATTTTCTAGGAATGTTAGAAATGTTCACCTGTAAGTTTTTTGTCTCTTATTTCAACTGTACTACATTATTTACTATAGAAACTGGATAAAAATACAAAAACGTTTTTGCAATGTATACCCTTGTTTTCTAAACTTTAAGGCATATGTGAGCTGTGAGTTATTCATCTTATAAATGGTTTACAAAAATAAACCATTTCCACTTTTTATAGCTTTAGCAAAATACAGAGAATCAACAATCCAAGCAAAACACAGAAGTAGTTTAATTGCCATCAATCAGATTTTAAATATTCAAGCTCCTTTATAGTTTTCAATCACTCCATATTTTAAATCCCTTTTAAATCTTGATCTATGCCAAAACATTTTTTTTTCATTCTTAACATTGGGAAAGCAATTAATAAGTTACTTGTGTGTCAGATTCAGTTTGATTTAGTTCATTCATTTAGCGCCAATTCACAACAACTATCCTCTCAACACATTTGACATGAGAAATAAATGGCATTTAAATTCAGAAATATATAATTAATTCAATCCTGTCATACAGAAAGATTAAAATTAAGTTACATTCCAATACGATTTAATTTACCCATTGATTTGCCTTTGAAACCGTTTCTCACCATCAGAAACACATTAATGCAGCATAACGGTTAGCTAAAATGAATCCATTTAGCGTTTAAGTGGATCTGATCAAAAGAGGGTGAAAAATCATGGTGGCAAATTCAATTCAATGCAAATTGTTAAAAAGTTATCAGTCTAAAGAAGGCCAGACAAGTTGCTAACTTCAGGGAATCGCTCTTCTTCAATAAGCAAGGCGACACTGAATGAAGGATTTTATTTTTCCACATTTACGTCTACATCTCACATTTCATCATAAAACATCAGTGTCTTTGTAAAACTTGCCTTGTCTTGTGTTACTTTCTAGGAACAATAAAGCTGCTTACTTGCACCATCTTTGGGTATGTTAAACTGACTGTGGTGTTGTCTTTCTTTCGCTGCAGCAGTGCTGGAAAGAGAATTTCTGGTGTCCAGAGAGAAGGAGAGGAAGCTGCAGAATGAACTGGACGCTGTGACCACTCGTCTCCTGCAGCAGGAGCAGCTGAACCTGGAGCTCAGGATGAACCAGGACCAGCTCATCTGCAGGATCCGTCAGCAGCAGGTGGATTCATGAAGTTCTCCCTGATGGAGAATCACTGTCAGATGATGCAGCTTTCATTTTAAACCCTCACATTAAATCTTGCCATGTTTTTTAGGTTTGTTTGGGGTATCTTTGCTCTTATTGAAGCTCAAACTTGTGAAATTACAATAAAAGTGAACAGATCACCTGAAAACTGCATTTTGAGTTTAATTAGGTTATCTGTGTCTAATATTCATAAGTATGACAAAAAAGATGAAACTGAAGAAATCTGTATTTTTCAATGAAATTAACAAAGTTAATTAAAAGTTCCTTTTAAAGAAATTTGCTCACTGTTTAAGCATAAAACGTTCTTTGAATTTTATTAAAGTTCTACTTCATTTTATCACAGTAGATTAGGATGTTAATGCAGTAAAATCTTAAAATGTTGGTCTCATTATTTCAAGTATCTGTAACATTCTACCAAGCATCAAAGTTTGCACTGAATACACAGAAAATTCTTGTCAAGAAGTCATGCAGAAAAAAAAGCTTTTTAAATCTTACACCTTGAAAAGTGACTCTGACATTCTAAACAAACTCTACATCAGGTTGAGGCTTGTCCCATTCACTTAGACTTTAAGGCTCTTTTATGTCACTTATTTAATTAGTTGTGATGATATGTTAGTGAAATCTCAAAGTCTCCACCGAATCACAATTAAATCTGCTGAATACGCTGCAGGAATGAGTGTTACTCATGTCCTTCAGTGTCTCCTGCAGAACCTGGTGGACGTCCTGCAGCAACGGATGGTCCTGCTGGCAGAGGAGAGTCGTCGGGATGTGGAGCTGCTGCAGCAGGTCAACTCAGAGTTGGTGTGTCTGCAAAGCTCTGAGGTGCAGCTGGAGGGCCTGGTGGAGGAGCTGCACGCTGAGGCCCAGTGCCGAGCAGCGCTGACGGACAGACTGCATGCAGAGCTGCGCAGGTACACGCACTTCAGCTCCTTTTGCTTCTGAAATTTGGTTGTAAGCGCAGACAAACTTAGGGTGCGTTCACACCAGCCTTATTTAGTCTGTTTTAACCGAACTCTGGTTCGTTTGTCTAGAAATACCAGTTTGTTTGGCGAAGTGTCAATGCACAACCAAACTCTGATGTGGACCCAAAAAGCGAACTCTGGTCCGCCTAGAAACCAAAGTCTATGTTCAGCTGAAGTGAAATCTGGTGCAGTTCAAATGCATATGTGAACACCAAGCAGGTCGGAGACCTGTCCAAAACCAGGAAGTGGACCGCAGCGCAGGACATTCTGGGTAAATACAACCAAACCGAGAGTAATGACTCGTGGTCTTCTGCCAAAGACAAAAGATAAATCCTACAATCTCTCAAATCTGACACTACTCCATTTTTGTTTACATTTCGCAAAGAAAGAAGTTGCGCTCATGTCTTCTTCTGAAGTTTTTGTGTTGTTTCCTTCAGAGGTTGTTGGTGCAGTACCACCACAGGCGAGGAGATGAACGGGTTTTTCAAAGGGTTTGGTTGGTTTGACAGTGCAGTGTGAAAGTGAACCACAGCAGCTGGAAATGTAACAAATGTCCCCAGTTGAACCTGGACTAACAGGGATGATGAAAACACCCTTAATCACCTTTAATCTGATCTATAATCACCTTTACACCAGAGTTTATTACAGGAGAGCTAAGAGAAGGTAAAGCTGCTATTTTGTTTTTAGAAAAGTAAATTTGGCTCTCTTTAATGCATTCTCCAGTACTTCATCATGTCATTACTGTTCATCCAAATATTGAATTTTTGGCTGATTCCAGCACATTCCTTTGTGTCTCTCCAGCTGTTTTAACTAAACAAGTTCAAACAGTCGGAGAAGAGCACATCCATTTAGTGAAAACTAAACTGAATCAAGCTGTAAATCAGCTACCCTAAAAAACTACAGGCTTTAAAACACTCTTTATTTTTCAAATGAATTAAAACAAACTATAAAATGTAAAATTGTCAGAAAAATAGCTGTCATTTGCTTTGTCTAATTAAATCCTGCAGTTTGATTTATGTCACATTTTTTTCTAGCAGGATATTTTTGGGAAAACAGATGAAAGAGACATCATCTGCAAAAGGTTTACTGTTTAGATTTATTTTTGGTTTTAATGATGTATTGTGATTCTTACATCCCTAGCTGGAGTGTGTTTTTGCCATGGGCACTCAGACACCGTCAGAAATGTGTTTGTAACACTTTGCAGTTTCTGACTGTTCTTTTTTGCCTTTTTAAATTTTATTTAACCAGAAACGTTGCGGTGCAACATCTCTCCTGCCAGGAAGTTCTGGTCAAGAATTTCATGCAGAAGTAATCTGATTAAAAACACAACGAAACATTAATTAAAAACCTTGATTGATTTTAAGATGTCGAGGCTTTAGTCCGACCTCAGGTTGCTTTGCTCACGCCTTCTTTGCTACGCCATGTTGGACTCTAATGCCTCTCCTGTAAGAGTTTATTCAGCAGCTTTTCAGCATTTATTCTTTATTCTGAGAACAAACTGCTCATCCCTGGCTATCAAATGCCTTTCATGTGATCGGTAACGATATCCAACATGAATTGAGAGACCACATGTTTTATGCAAATGTTCAAAAGTGCCTGACTTAAAGTTGAAGAACTGTTCTCTGATCACAGTGGTTTTGTTCTTTTATCTCATTTGGTTGGGGCATCCTAATTCAAGTCGGAAACCAGACCTGAGGTTTAAAAAAACCTTCAGAAAAACTAGGGTTGGAAAATAAATCAATAACTACATAAATCACAGTAGATATGTGATCGATATCAAAAAGTAATACATTTCATACAATATTCAATGATTTCAATGAACACTGATCCAGAACCGCACAGCATTCTGGGAGATGTAGGCAGAGGACAGGCTTTAGCTGTTCAACCTTTCACGGCTAGCTAACTAAGGTTGGTGAAATCAACTAATGCACTAACTCTGGTTACCTAGCAACTCACTCACTCCTTGGTTACCTAGCAACAACCTGTTGAGTAACATGTAGCAGTTTAAGGCTTCACCACTGTGCCTCATACCTGCTTAAAAAAAAAAAAAAAACAACGGCGTGGAGTGGAAACTCTAGATAAATCAGAAGAGGTTACGCCACCAGATTCATAGTATTTCAGATATTTAAAATAAAAAACAAATAAATAATTATCAATGTCGACTGATATGAAACAATTTTATTATAATACCTTTTGCAGCCATATTGTCCAGCCCTAAGAAAAACATTTTGGACCTTCTTGCACTCTCCTTTGTCACCTTCCTTATTGATTTACTGGACTTTAAATAAAAATAGTAATAAAAACCTGCAACTGTTAATAAACTAAAGTTCACTTAATTCTGTTTTTATGTTTCATCAAATTCTGCTAGCTCCTAGCAATTGAACATTAGCATTGTGCATGTTAAATTTAATTAATTTTTTCATTGTATTCAACTGAAAACAAGAAGCTTGGGTACCATATCTGAAAAACAAATGTATATCTGTGTTTTGTGGTTGCTATGAGCAGTAAGCTGGTGCAGCTGAAGGAGCTGCAGGAAACCAACGACGGTCTGACAGAAGAGCTGAGGGATCTCCGCAAAACTCATCTGGAGGAGGTGAGATCCTTTCTGTACATCTTTCTAAACAACAGTGAGGTTTCCCACAAAAAAATAAAATATTTTCCTTTGGAAGCAAAATCTGAAGAAATGATTCTTAGAGGAAGACTTGGAGTCTTTACACGTTGCACAACATAAAATCCTACCAAGTATTTTTAATCTAGTTTCTAGTGCAGATATTTTAGTGCACTTGAAATAGGACTAAATTATCTTACAAGTGACACAAAGTTAATAATTTCTTAAAATTGAACTAGGCTCACTGGCAAACATTTCACTTATAACAAGATTTTCCTCATGTTATAAGTGAAATAATCTGTCAATGGAACAAATACTTTTTAAAATTAATACTAAGGAATTATTCATTTAAATAATTAAAAGTTACTTAAAAGTTACTTGTAAGCTGGTTTTGTCTTTGCGTGCACTGATATTCTCACTATAAACTAAACACTAAATTAAACAGAGATTTTGTATTTTTGCAGAGCATTCAGTTTCAGTAGTTAATTTTATAAACAAAGCCACTTTTTGTGAAAAAAAAAAAAAACTTCAGTGTTGGAATTGCAATGCCATTCTTGTCCACCAGATGTCAGAATAGGGACACGTTATTCAACATGAAACAATCAGCAATTAGCAGAACTTTTAAAATTTTACAGTTAATTTAGACTGTTTTATGGAGGAAATAATTATAATGAAACCTGTATGCTCAGGGCTCATATTTATACCACAGACGTATTTTTTTTAAAAATGTCAACTTCCGAGACTTTACTGGTGTTGGGTTTGCTTCAGTGCATCTGTATATTTGTGGAACGTGTAGATTTATGGTTTTTATTATTCACTGTGAGCTTCAAAGACCGGCCCCTGTGTTGGCCTCGGCTTCAACCAGTCCATCAAGCAGCAAACAATCCGGTTATGTAATTAACTTTCCTTTGAGACATCCGCAGATGGCCTGGAGAACAGCGGAGCAGACCGCAGAGTCAGTGAAAACTTAATGAGATCATTTATTAGCAGGGGATCAAGCCGGGGAAATATTGCAAAGGCCCTGGGAATTGAAGATTATGTCAGACTCCGCCGCTCTAACTCATCTTTCTGCATGACAAGTCGTTATTCTAATCTATATTTGCAGTTTGCAATAATCACTGCTTCCTGAGTTTATTGTTTTGATCACATCCTGGTATCAGGGGGAAATAAAAATGATCACGTTTATTTATTTAAAATGTATTTTAAAGGTGAAGGAACTGCAGCAGGAGAATAAAGGGAGCCTGAGTAAGTTGCAGGAGACGGCAGAGCAGTTCGAGTGGCTCTGTCAGCAACAGAAGTACTGGATGCGTTGTGTCAAAAGGTGGGATTATTTACATGAATAAAACAAACATGGCAACACAGTTAGATCCTATTCTCATAGTATTTTATGAAAGATTTATGCCAAAAACATGATTATTTCCAATATCAGTTCACATCCAGAGTAAAAAAAAATAAAATTGTTGGGCAAACTCATGCTTTAGTTTGTTTAAAGACTAAAGGTCTTGACAACACATTATGCTGCAAAAACACATGCTAACAATGTGCAGATTTAGAGAAACATCACTGACTAAATCCTTCTACTTCCTTCAGATTATTATTAATTTCACTGTGTTCCTCCTTAACATCCCCAAACCTCTGAAAATAAATCCAATCCTCTGAGCTGGGAGTTGGGCAGCGCTCTCCTGGCTAATAAAAGCAGAAACCTGCTGCCTGTAAACAAATTTAATGACAGTGGAGAGAGTAAACCACAACAATGAAGGAGCTGGAGGGAAACAAAGTCGAGTTCATGGGCTTTTAAAGGCGCAGTTAAAAAAATTGGAATATGTGAAGTAAAGGTAAACCTTTCCATGTAATTTGTGAAACATTTTTTTATAAAATTTTAAGAGCTTACATAAATTTCTGTGATTCCACATGGTACAATCTTTGGTTTATTGCAAATTACAGAAAAACAAGAATGCTAGAGCTTTCATGGGACCGAACAGAACCTTAAAGAGTTCTTCATGAACTTATAAAGTTGCCTTTTAAAACTTTCCTGGAACTTACAGACTATTTTTCTGGTACTTAGAACTTTGCAGAACTTACAGAACATTTTTCTAGAATTTTGTAGAATTATGATTGACTTATAATCTCATACTTTACTGGTAAAGTGACAGGTATAATTTGTGACTTTTTTCCAGTGTTGTGCACGACTGGTGAGGCACTAATTATAATTGCAAGAAAAGATGAAAAAAAATATTTAATAAGGTCACATTTTTTTTATTTATTTATTTGAATGTTTCCTTTGGCAGATTTATCTCTTTTCTGATTAAAATAGAAAATCGTGTCTGATCTTACCTTTATTTCATATGATGTCAATGCACCCATCCTTCTCTACAAATATCTCTGTCATTCTGTTGTTTCTCATTTTCCTTTAATTTTCAAAAATCTGACAGCCAAAGAGAGTGGCCCAGAACGGTTTTGCCATCTGTATTCCCCCTCGACTGTTTTCATTCTTATCAATGCATAGATCACTTGTTGTATCCATGGGGCTCAACACTGCCCCCTATCAGGGAGGCATGGTACTTTCTGCCTCAGCCGCGCATATCACTGCACATTTATAGCCGACCAGAAAGACTAAATAAGTTGCTCACATTTATTAAACATATCAAACAGACTGTGTAACGTCAACATATGTAGAAAATGTGTAATTAAACAAGTACATTGGCGCTATAAAGACAGACAGCAATGGACATGCGCTAAATCCCCGTTTCATTCACTTGTGCGATACAGCGCCCCCAAAGGCTGAGGCACAGCACTGCACTGCTTCAACCTGGCCTTCTTGTATTTCATTAGCCAATGCGTAAATTCAGTGATTTTGGCCATAAAAATGTTGAAATTACCAATAATAAAAACAATGTATAGAAAATTCAAGTGGACTCTCATCATTGCTAGCATCTGTTTCACTTTGCATGGTCTTATTTTTACTTATCAGGATTACAGGTGCCTCATCTGCCTCCCCTGACCACACTTCACTGCTTGTTTCACCAAAAGCAAATCTACATGGAAAGAAAAAAAGTTATCCATGTGTTCGAGAAAAGAGACCTTTAACCTTCTGGAAAGTATTGTAAAAATAGTTTTTCTGGTCAGTGACCAAAGATTGGTGGATTTTTTGTTGTTGTTGTCTTCCACAGGTTCAAAGACTGCCTGATGGAGGAGAGACAAACTCTGCTGCATCAGGTCAACACTTTGGAGAAGAAGGTTGGGCAACAGAAGAAGAGCTCACATGATGGCAGTCCAACACAGAGTCTCCTGCGCCCTCTAGAGGAAGCAGAGAGGCCTGGCAGGTGGGTGGATATGAATCCACTGCTAAGCTGTTAATAAAAATACAGTTATTTGTTTCCCTTTAGCCACATCTAAAACCTGTTTTTGTATGCAGTGTAACATCATTGGATGCAGACGTGGTGACAGATCTGGGTCCCCAGGTGGAAAACTCAAACATGTTGTATGAGGAGCTCATTACTCAGGTAACCTGAAGATCACACAGCACATTTTTTATATCATTTCAGGGACTGATCTTGTTTGATTAATGTGCTGTTATTTTTCTAGGAGAGATTTTTATTCTTTTCAAGCTAAACAATTTTTCTTAAATGACACACAACATAACTCAGCTGCAGTTTCATGGCTTTTTTTAAAGTTAGAAATGACACAAACTCTAAAATCATCTTCAAAAACGTAGAATTTGAGGAAGAAATAAATAGTTGACACAACAGTTTATACAGACAATGTTGTGCCTTTCATCTCTCTGTTACAGCCAGTGAAGTTCACTGATAAAACGGAATAAGTAATATTTACCACTGAAACAAATACAATAAAGCTGAAGTATTCATAATGTAATATTTATTTTACTAGCTTATTTTAATCACAAACAATAACATGTTTTCTTCATAGCTTAAACGTTCTTAACAGAGACACAAGTTGAAGCTAATTTACTTATTTGAGTCATTTTCTGAGCTTATACAATAGTTAAAGCAAATTGTAGCTGTAAACAAATTGAGTAATAATCAAGTAATAAATTGAGTATTAGCCTTTTTTCTGTGGTTGCTTTAACTTGGCTCCTTAATTTCTGGCTAACAGTTGCAGTCAAGTTTGAATTCAATTTTAAAAAAATCAGCCTATGACTTCATTTAACTTTGGATCGACGCTAGTTTGTCATATCTGGACCTAATTAGAATAATCTGGTGTTAACCAAGTTCTCAAAAGATGGTTTAAATCAAATCAATGAACTCAACTCGCTCAGCTAAGACCATGAAAAATAGTGAGTTCATTCTGATAGATGTTTTAATTATTCCAAATCTGAGCAAGATGACCTGTATGTATTTCCATATAATTTCCAACTATCAATATGTATTTTATGGAGAATGTGCAGCAGCTTTTCGTCCTTATAAAACTGGCCAATCTAATCGTGCCAGATCTTTCAGATTGGTTCAAATTTCAGGGTTGAACCAGAAATTCAGAACATAATTTTTCACTCAGGGTGATTTCCAGTCCCCTGTGGACTTGTATTTCTGCCAAAATGCTCTTAAAATGAAAACGTAAGGGCCAACAGAGTCACATAACTGTTCCAGGTTTTTATTTGTCTGTTGTTCACTGTAAAATATTTGAGGGTTGAGTTTAAAAGCTGTTTTGCAATCAAGCCGGAAAAAATAAAGTCCAAGAAGCTCTTGCAGGAAGTTTTATCAAATCCTCCTCCTGCAGGGTTTAATGTTCAAAGGAGTTTTCTGACCACTCTGGGAAAAACCTTCATATCCTCCTTATGACGGCGTATTACTGAAATGAAGTCATAAAATTATACAAATAAAATCATACGGGAATAAAGTCATACAAAAAAAAAAATCAAAAATAATTTAATGATCCAAAAGGGAAATTAAACAAATGCAAAATAATATGAGGAATAAAGTCATAATAATGTGAGAATAAAATCCATATCTTGAAAATATTATGAAAAAAAGTCAAAAATAATCTGAAAATAAAGTTGTAATAATATGAGAATAAAATCATGATAATAGAATAAAGTCAATATATCAAGAATAAAGTCATAATATTCAGAGAATATACACATATTACCAGAATGCAGTAATATTACCAAAATAAAGTCGCAACGTAACGACTTTACGCATAACATTTATTCCCAAACAAGTTTATTCAAGTACTTTTATAGCTTTACAACTTTATTCTCAATATACAACTGTTCTCATGCAAGTGTAAAACTATTCCTTATTTTCTTACTATATCAACTTTATTCTGGTAATATTATCACTTTATTGTCGTATGAGTTTATTCTCATAATATTGTGATTTAATTCTCAATTTACTTTATTCTTGTACAACTTTATTCCCGTAATACTATGACTTTATTCTTCGTCGTATGATCTGTTCAGTGTTTTACCTGGATGAGAGGAACCCTGCGATTCTGAACATGAGGCTAATGCTCATGGCTTCCAGAGACGTCAGAGACGGCTGATCTTCTCGTAGCATCAGAGTCTCATTGTGCTTTTTCTCTGCCTGTCTGCTGGATGCGCTGGGCCTCCTCACAGTCCGCTTCCAAAGCAGCGAAGAAATGACTAATAATGACTGGAGGAGGCGCTCGCCAAGAGCCTCTGTGCTTCATTCCCCTCACCTCGCTCAGACTCTGCATTGCATTTCTTGGGATAATTATTCTGATTGAGAGCAGATGATGCAGACTGTTTTTCCCCCCTTTTCGATTCCTGCAGAGCGAGGGCGGAAATTTCTCCGGAGGAGCAGCAACTGTCAGAAACATGGAGGAAACAGCCTCGATAAAACACATTACCAGCTCCGACATGATTTATGGAAACCGCAGATTCACATTGTCTGGACATGACAGAAGCCCCTTTCAGACATTTGCTGCTTTATATTAAACTGAACTTGTTGGGGTCATGTTTGAATTACCCCCTGGTGCTTTTCCATAAGATGTCCTCCACATGCAATCACACTTCTTTGGCTCCTGAAAGTGAATATTTTTAAAAACTCCAACCAGGCTGAAGAATTTTGCTGACTCCGACTGTGACAGTTATGTGAGCCCTGATGGTTTTGGTTACCAGTGCCAGATTGTGCAATGCCATCTTTGAGGTCTGCTGTCACAATAAGTCCTGGTCTGGCATGCATAGAGCTCAACTTTGTCTGAAAATTGTCAGGCAAACAGATTTGTTTTAAGTATTAACAGAGCTGTTTGGATGCATTTTTAGGATTAGGATGAGACCTCAGTCATTAGACTGAATCACATTTCCAAGAACAGCCTCAGACTTAGCCTAAAATATATATTTTATGGGGTCAGTAAGGACATCATCTTTGAAAGCACATGTTCATTTGCAAACCCCTTCCTCCTTTAGAAGAGCCTTAAAGGGGACCTATTATGCAAAATTCACATTTTGGACATTTTTACATTTCCATTTGGGTTTTTACTGCGTCTAAAAACAGCCCAGGTACTTAAAAACCCATCCAACCATTTTTTCCCCAATACATTAATGTTTTCTGATGTCTAGAATTGTTACATCACTGCCCCGTTACCTAGCAACCCCAGCTGACCCCAGCACCATTACCTAGCAACCTCACCTGAGCCCAGCCCCGTTACCTAGCAATCCAAGCGAAGCCCAGCCCATCATCTCACAACCAATGCTGAGCTCCAGCACATTTTGTCAGCTTGTTTTACTGCAGTATGCGCTGTACAATGGCTGCTGGAAAAGAGAAGTCTTTTGTTGTTGATTTACCATCCAGAAACCACTTGCTGCCTTCGTGTTGATTGCACAGGAGGCTCTACTTTCCGAGAGGTTAGAATGCTTGTCAAATGCCGTTTTGACTAAAGTCCAAAGGGTTGATTGCATAATTGTGCATCTGTTTGCAGCCAAATGAATCAGGAGACTATACTTCATGCCACACTGTCCAGTTTTGTATTAGTGAAAAATGAAAACAATGCATCATTTTACTTCTACATAATTATGCGTAACACTGACTGTTTCATAAAATCCCCATAAAATACGTCGTAGTTTGTAGTTATGTGACAAAATATAGAATATTTTGAAAGTTGTTTAATGTGAATTTTATGAGGTACTTTCAATGGATTACCCACAATTAATCAGTTTTCTTAAATAATTATTATTTATTGGGAACTTTTGTTGCATCACCAGTCCATATGAGCCAAAACTTTCATGTCCACCACTTTCACTTCCATTTATCTACACCTATGTGGTCTTTCTTAGATATCACTTTAAATACCAGATTAAAGCAAATTAAATTAGTCTTAATTTCCAGTTTAAACACTGACACTACATGCATCATTTTATTGGATTTATCTTGCCCAAACATTTTTCCTGGAGGACTTTTATCTGTGGAGGAAACTCTTCTGCTCTCATCCTAACGCAGAGTTTATTTTTCTGCCTGTAGGCGGGGAATCCTATCAGCAGATACCAGGAACCTCCTTGTGGACTAAAGCCATCCCATCTTCTCCCACTTTCCTCAACTCAGAGGTTTTAACTACTACTGGATGTTTGTGGATTGCCTTCCAGTCTTTGTTTTAAAGAAACCAGACCTGCATTGTTCTCCTTCCAGTATTGTTCACTAAAACCCATTCATTAAGCTCCAGTTCCCTCCCCCTTCTTTTCTTACTGCTGTCCCATATGTGCATCACATGTGCTTAAATTTGTCTGGTCACATTTTTCCAGTAATTGTCCATTTTTCAAAACCTCGTAATCAACACTGCTAATAGGAGCACCTGAGAATGTTCTCTTTTGTTGTTTGGCTCGTAAATCCTCAGCTGGCGCACAGAGGACACAAACAAACACGCTTTTTTTACCGCACCAAAGCACCATCACTGGGTTTTCTGTTTCCTTGTCACTCGGCTTTCTCTTGTGAGCAATTATCAGAAAATCTGTAAAGTAATTTGGTTTGGATCAGCAGCGGCTCATGTGTGAGAACCATCTGATGCACACATGTTGCTAAAAAGGAACAATAAAACTGCGCAAGAGAAAAACAATATTTCTGATTCATCATGGAGAAAGTCATCAAATCCTTCACATGTGTAGTAGTCCTTCAATGTTGGCCGATTTTTGACATTTCTGTATAAATATGAACTAAAACATCGTCTGAGGTCGACAACATTAAGATCAATGAAGCTCAAATTAAACAAATATCTATTTTTCACTGTTTTTGAGAAAGGTGAACACATAATTGTCCACTTTATATTTAAATGGTTAAGTCAACAATCTAAACATCTTTCCCCATTAATCTATAATTTGCTATACATTAAAAATCTCAGGGCTTAATCTAGTCATGCATTACCCGAGAAAATGTTCTGAAGATGCAGATAGAAACTAATTTACTATTAATAAAGCAAATCTATTTATACAAACAAAGCCTACTATCCATTTTGATGCCCATTTCTCCATCAAATATATTTTATTTCACAACTTTTAGCATAATAAAGGCTGTAAGGCAGTTTTTAATAACATATACTGTGGATAAGGTCAAATATGAAAGATATTTTGAAACCTGGATTTAAAAGAAAATATAATCTCCCTGGAAGAAACAGTTCACATTGTTTTCTGTTTTTATGAAGATTTGTAAATGTTTAAAGGCTTACTGATTTTTTTTACCACAATCAACATGGATTGAACGAAATGAATCTTCTGTATTTGCAAATTTTTGGAATTCTGCTACATTTAGCACAATTATTTTTATAACTTTTGTTGTCCATATCGAAATTGGATCACATGGGTCACATGATCCACAACTGGATGTTTCCACTGGTGCAAACCATGAAGAAGACGACAACAGGAAGTAGTAGGAGGATAACGGTGCAACATGTTTCCTAATGACTTATTGTGTGAACAGACTTATTCACATGCGACTTTAATTTCATTCCTTATTTAATGGAAACACCACAAAGGCAAAATTGTTTTTTCAATGTCATCGGAAGTTTCCATTACAAATGTGTGCAAACGTTTCTATTTTAATGTTGTCAAACTTGTCAAATAAGAAATTAGATGAAAATCACATCATGAGATTTATTCATCTATCAGCCATCAGAAGAGACGTTCGAGTCTTATTCAGGCACTGGAGCGACAAACCCCTAACACGTGGGAGCGGATATCTATGCGACGTTTTGGGGAAATTGTAGTCGTGATTTTACAGAAGATCTGTGGATTCAACACTTTCCAATGACACACAACTTTTTATGAACTGTGGGATCCTGTGAGCTGCACTTTATCTGAAAAACCCCAAAACGAATCATCATCTTCATACCACTTCCTGTCGTATTCTGTCGTCTTCGCCAGCAGGATCATCCGGTTGTTGATCACGTGACGCAAAAAAAGTGTTTCCATTGCAGTTTTGCAAAATGCATCCATTTGGATATGACTGAAATCTCTATCAAGAGCAACAAACATTTTATCAAAAAAACTCGACTTCTTTTCGAAATTGGTGTGTTTCCATTAATCAAATTTATTTTCATAATTTCAATTTGCACAATTTTATGGTTATGGTTAATCACAGCTACTGTAACTATCAACATCTGGCAGCATATTGTGCATCATCAGGAGCATAAATATCCCTAAAAGTCAACATCAGCGTGCTTTAGGGGGCTTGATAGCACTGATGAAAAGAAAACAGGAGTCTGCAGATTGGTGCTCGTGGTTGGCAGACTTTACAGCTCGTCTGGTCAGAAAGGTGTGTCCCCGGATATGCGGTGGCGCCCCGGACCACAGGGGACACCGGTGGCACCGGCAGCAGCGTGCCCTCTGACTGCAAAGCGCTAAAACAGTCTGACCCAAATGGGCTGTGAAGGTCTGAGGTGTAGTGGGAGATTAACAACGTGTGGTGGCTGGAAACGGTTTGTGTTTGCACACAGTAAATACTCTTTCACCCTTCTGCTGCAGAACGAGACTCAGACGTTATAGGTGTTATTAATAGAACGATTATAGGTACAGCCAGAATAGCATGTTTATGTCCCGGCTTCATCACAGCCAGGGAAAACACGTTACCGACATTTAACACCAGGATATACCCATTAAAAAGTGAGACTTGTTAAAGTGGAGACTAGCAGACACGTCTGTACACTTGCTTGTATAAACATAGATTATGTGGTGCCAGTTTAGGCACTCCAGATATTACTGTATACTGACTGTAAGAGGACTAAATGAGTTTGTCAAGGTTTCACTTACTGCGAATAAAAACTGTTTATGAAACATTTGTGTGAACATTTAGAAAGAAAATCTCCTCCTCTCTTTACAAAAGTTGTTTGCTTGGAGGTTGAATCAACAGACAAAATGTTCACAGAGATGAAACACCAATCCAGTTCAGTTAAAACCTGCTTATTTCATGTCATTTCTGTGTACATCTGTTTGATTCAGATTTATCATTTTCTTTAATCTCTGCTACTCTAAAAGGTAAACTACTTGGTTAAATGCTATCGCAGAGCAGCGGCACAGGATTCAGCTTTCCCTTTGAGACTGTTTGGATCGGTGTACAAATGTTTAACAGTGTCGTGAGTAAACACAAGAGTTAGGTGTTGAAGTTTAGAAGGAAGCGGTTCTGAACTGTGGACACTCAAAATAACCCCCGCAAATATCCTCACAACACGAAACTGGATGTAATCTCTTGGAGATTAGTTTATATTTTATCTACACGCACGGTTTAGCCCAGAATATTCTGAAGAAAAACTAATTTTAGCTAGCTATTATTGTTTGCCAAGAACTCATCTATCAGCCCAGATTTGATTGATTTTTGAGAAACTGAGTTTTGGGTTTGCATTTGTAAAAATGCTCCTTCTTCATCATGTACTGCAGATTTAACCAGATTTTTGTACTGAAAACAAATATCAACATTTTCTCCCAGCTGCATCCATGTCCTCATCTTGACTCAATAAACTCACTGGAAAGAAAAAAAAAAAACTTATATATATATATCATTGTGACCTTCCTAGTTAAAAATGTAGGAGAATAAAATTCCAGGAAATAATGCCATTAGGTGTGGCCGTCAATTAATGTTGAATGAAATCATGTGTATGACTGAAAATATTGTGACTAGGATGGGGAGCAGAAATTCCCTCACTGAACCCATAAAGGGATTATAGGAGTCAGTTTTTATACTGGGTGTTGCTAATGTAACCCAGCTACACACACACCATGAATGAGTTTCTGAAATATACATTTATTTTACACAAACTGAGGGTAAAAGTCAAAGTTTCTAATATGAAGTGTGAAAGTCAGCTCTGTAATGTGCATAAAAACATCAACAAAGCAAAAGGCAGCAGCAGAGAAAAGTTGATGAATAGATTATTAGAAATGTTTTGAAGTACTATGTATTTCTCCATCATGTTGCTGACAGTGCTGTTTTAAAATCTTATATCATTTTCTCATTTGGTTTTATTTTGCTAGAAAGGAAACATATTCCTGTCGTTTTGGAAAAAATCTCATTTTTTACTCACTAAGACTTTGTTCATTAAACAACGACATATTTTAAATAATTAATCAGTAGCTTAACAGCTTTGTTAACAAATAACCATGACAAAAAACAGGTCAGACTCCTGCCACACCTTTGAGTTTCTTTATCAACCAGTTGTTTGTAAATATATTTGCTTCCTATTTGCAGCAGCTCTCCACAGACTCATAACAACTGCAGCTCCGGCCTCCGTTTGACTCCTCAAGAGCCTTTTATGGTTTTGGACTTGGGTTTAGCTTCATGTGGTTTAGGGGCTTGTAAAGGCATTCCCTAAATTTCTCCATCATATCTCAAGTCTTTTGAAGCATCTAACATTCCCTCCAGGATGTTGTAATGTTTTCTTATTGTTGTTATGGCCTAAAAGTACTGATTTTGAGGCACTTTTTTCAAAAAGTTGCTAATTTTTTGCTGCTGGTATAATAGCTCCTCTTTGCTCTTTCTAATTATGACAACAAAGATTTATGTTGAAGAGCTGAGCTCCAGGACTTTTGGCCAGCTAGTTTTACCGCTTTATGTCCTGTACAATGGCTGCTGGAAAAGACAAGTTGTTACCATTCCGAAACCACTTGCTGCATTCCTGTTGGTTGTTCAGGAGACTCCACTTTTGCTATTCAAAGATTTTATACGGTTGTATAATTGCACATCTGTTTGCAGCCATTTTTACATATCAGTTTAAATGTTGTTAATGAGCTAAGTCGTGACTAATAGCCACTTATTTGTATTTAAAGTAACAAGAGGCCCTAAAGCAGCCAATTCTGAAAGAAACTCAAAATAGGCAAATATCTAAGACTGATTTTCTGCAAAAAATGTTATGAACATGTTTTGTTTAGCCCATAAACCTATCCTAACCTGCTCGAGGAAGAATAATAGATCACCTTTAAAATTATTTGAGAACCATTTTCTTTCCACTTTACTGTTTTGCAATACTTTGTATTGCCGTTTCACTTGAAATCCTAAAAGAAATACATGAAACTTTGTGGTTGCAATGTGAAAAAATGTAGAGAAGTTCAAGGAGTGTGAATAATTTTGACAGGCACAGCAAAAGATGCGGTTCAGCACATAGAGCTGGAAGGAAACTGGTCTGACAGTGGTTCAGAAATGCAAACAAGTGTGTATTTGAGTCCTGACGGAGGCAAGACGCTGACACATGGCTGACCCCTGCCTGGCATGTGGTGGCAGCTTATTTTACAACCCGCGGGGGTCACTGAGGGGTGATTCATGGTGTGTGGTAGGAGGGATGAGTCCCAGACGGCTGCTGAAGCCGCTCGGACCGTCGAGCGTACAGGTGAAGCGCAGAGACCAGGTCGTCTGAAAACAGCCTGTTTTTACTGCTGCGTGAAGCCTGATACCAACAGCCTGAAAGACAGATGTGTTTTACACCGAGCAATATTCTTCCCACTTTCAGTGTTTACACTGGACGGCTACGTTGAGTGACATCAGGGCGGACATTTCCCTTTTTTTACATGCTCAGCTTTGCCAGTTTTCATGCTAAATTTTGAGAAATAGCTGACCTGACGGATGAGGGTGAAAGCTGTAATTTGGTTTCAGCTTTTAAAAGGAGTCTTTGAGATTAGTTTTTTTCTTCTTTCAACCATATCATAAATTATAAAAACAAGGATAAAAGTTCAGCTTTTCAGTCCAGGTGATGATTGAAGGATTCCCATTAGGTGCAAACCCGGAGGAACTGCAACAGTTTCAGATTTCTGTGAAAACCTGTTCTTCATGCAATGTTGAAGGCAACAATTTAACATCCAGTTTAATTGAGTTTCAATTCAAAACATCTTATGTTCAATATAAATCTATAACTTCTTTGACAGCCAATGTAGCGAGTCCAGGTCCTTTCAGCTTGTCCTATTTATATTCATTTTCTTCCAGATATTTGGTGAATTAAAGCAGACAAATATAAAATTAGAAAAACATAACTCAGTGTTTCCCTCTCACCAAAATATGACATTTCTCATCAGAAAAGCCATTTCAGGGTTTGTCTGCAATAACCTGGAAAAGTGTTTCGAAAGATGTTGGTAAAAAAAAATATATCAGATGTCTGTAATTTTGAGGCTCCAGCACATTTTAAAAGTTTC